ATTTGGAGAGCCATTGGAGAAATACTTGGTATGACTTTCCCTAATTCTCTGAAGCTGTTGAAGTTTTTCCGTTGAAAAGAAGGACCTGAAGGCAGAAAGATCCGCATCCACTTCAGCTGAGTCAATACCATATACGTTGTGGAAGCGATAATATATCCTACGCAGGGAATCCGCGTCACTAAAAAATAAATAAAAGCTTATAAAAATAAGTAAAAATATTCGTATAAATGTATGTCCTAAAATGCTTCGTTTCGGAGATACAGGGTGTAGAAGTTTCATTTTTTTTTATTTCTTCCAAGTCTTTTCTGAACTATTATAGCGTCGATATTTGGATGAAAATTGCCTTTTTGGAATGACTCGTTAATTAAAGTAGTAAGATGGATTAATGTGCCTTCCGGAAGTTCAGAGAACATTTTGAGAACGTATCTGTTAGATTTTAAAATTAAGATGAATTCTTCTAGTATGCATTTGCGAAAACTTTTATTTAATTTTCTTCAAATGAAGGAGAAGAACGCATGAGTTTCCATTACTGAATCGTTCATCGCGACAAGCGACGATATTGAGGTTTATAAGCGACGATATATAAGCGACGATAAGCGACGATATATTTAAGCGACGAGATGTGTTTATGAAACCGCATCACCCATCGACTAAAACAGCAAACAGGAGACGTAATCGCGGCTGGAAAGTTCAAGATGTAACAAGGACAGTCGCATAATAATAAATTAAAAAAATCTTTAGAACTATTAAACCTCATTAACTCTATCTCCATCCAGTTGATCACAGTATAAAATTAACAAATGAAAATAAATGTTTATGTATCTATAGTTTATCCTAAAAATGATTATTTACGATTGCGTGAAGTGATTATAATAGTAATAAAATAACAGCGTATCTTCATTTCCAAGCCAATCTTTTCGATCGCATGGTATTGTTTGATACTGATATTGAAAGTTTTGAATTAAAATCTTATTATTATTTTTCATTATATGGTTGCATAAAATAGACTTAATTTCAATCTTACTGTTAACCTATTCAAGTAATAATTTATGTGCAGGTAGTTTTCGTTTTCAGAACTTAATATGATGCATAATAATTACTACTGCGTTTAATGGCTGTAATTAATTTTAAGGCAAGGTCTTCAAATAACAAGCATATTATGAGCAATACTTCTATAACGTCCATGATCTTTATTTTATTATTTATGGTACACACTATTATTATGTTACTAGAATATAAAATATATTAATAATTTAATTTTTTTTTTTGGAAATAATGCTTATATATTTGTATATTTAGCTATATGATAAGAAATACCATTTTTATTTTAGAAAGAGATACTAAAAAATCAAATAATTCAGCTACAAATTGCTTAAAAGATTATCAAAATCCGTCCACTAGAACACAATACAGAGGGTCGCTGTTATGTATGGAAACGGTCGATTATACAGGGTGAGTTTCCTACGATGTTCCCTATGGGTATCTCGGAAATTACTGGAGATAGAGTGTCGGTTAAATGGGGAAAGAATTGCAGTTTTGGGGGTCATAAATATGCGCCTGTAAGATTTTTGAAAAAGTTCATGGCTTACTAGATATTTTGAAAAAAACAAATTTCGGCTATATTAAAAATTGTCCCTAATTCCATTATAATCTATTTTAGACAAAAAGTTTTCAGATAAAAGTTGTAGATAATCACAACATCCTTAATGAGATTGTGTCCTCCGTTTTTTTCTAAAGCCTATCATTTTTGAGATATGACACAAACATATGTTTTTTTAAGTGTAAACCATAGTTGGCTTTATAAAAAGCGCTTTTTTTAAAGCTTATAAAGCGTTTAGAGATATAAGGTATAATATGTTTTCTTCGAAAAATTACTGAGTTGTAGCCAAATCTTATCATTTTTAAACAATTTCACTTAGTTAGCCATGGAAACAAGTTTAATCGTCTTTGCTCTCATCAACGTGAAGCTGTCACATCCAAACTTTGTAAAATAAAATAAACAAAAATTGTAAATATGAATTTTTGAAGTGAAGAAGAGCATGTAGATACTCGCGCATCAATAGAGTGGTTCCAACATGACTTTCATTATAACCCCCCCCCCCCCAAGAAATGTTAAAAATTATTTATATCATAAAAATGCAAACTCAGGGATAGGAAGAATAGACCAATTGCATGAGCCTCCTCGATCATCCTCGATCACCTGACCTATCCATTTTAGATTTTTTATGCGTTAACAATAAGGTTTACAAAAAAAACTTATGAATAAAGAGATGCACTACTTGTGGCGCTACGAGAGAAGTTTAATTAAGTCGACCAGTCCTTCTGTGAGAATAGGTAGTAATTCACTTTTAAAAGATGCAGCTCAAAACAATGGCGGTTTTTTTGAACATTTTCTAAAATAACTTAAAATGTATGTAGTGATATTATTTTTTTAAGTTTTAGTTTATGTAATGTAAAATGTAAAGAACCGTTTAATAATATATTCTGACTTTTTATAAGTTATAAATCATAACAGAAGAAGAATACCATGCAATCTAAGTGAAATTAGTCTAGAAAGATAAGAATTGGCTATAAATAAATTTAGCTTTTCAAACATGTCTTAAAACACGTTCTCTAAAGAATGTAACATTCACCGGTCAACGTATCCTCGAAAATGTATGGCCAAAATGTATGGCCAAGAAAATTTGAACCAATAATCCTACACGCTTTTCTTCATTTGAAAAAATCATATTTACAATTTTTGCTTATTTTAATTTACAAAGTTTGGATGTGACAGCTTTACATTTCTGAGAGCAAAGATGATTAAACTTGCTTCCATGGCTAATTAAGTGACATTGTTTAAAAATTATATGAATTGGCTATAACTCAGTAATTTTTCGAAAAAAAAAAACATATAGCTTATATCGCTGAAAAGCTTAAAAAATGGCGCTTTTTATGAAGTCATGGCCAGCTATGGTTTCCATGTAAAAAAACATATGTTTGTGTCATATCTCAAAAATGACCGGCTTTAGAAAAAAACGGAGGACACAATCTCATTAAGGATGTGATTATCTACAACTTTTATCTGAAAACATTTTGTCTAAAATAGCTTTTAATGGAATTAGGGACAATTTTTAAAATAGCCAAAATTTGTTTTTTTCTAAATATCTAGTAACCCAAGTAGCATTTTCACGACTTGCGACCACATGTTTACTAAACACAACGTTGGATTAGTTACAAAAAATAGTTAGCTCCCTACCTTGGGTTTTAAAATAAATTTAAACGTTTTTATAACGTTGTGCCGACGTTGGACTAGTACTACAGCAAAGTAGGAAGCTTCTGCGAAGACGAATAAACGTTGTCTTGTAACATTTTTTGCTTAAGTGATCTTTATGTGATTCGGACAACGTAGTTACAACGTTGGACAATATAGAGTTTTCCGACGTCAGTTTCAGGACCTATTCCAACGTTATGCAAACGTCGTCTGTTTTACTAATTCCAACGTTGTTTAGATTTCCTTATTCTTACGTTGGTAGGACGTCGAGTCACTACCTTTTTGCAACTGTATTGAACCATAACCTTAAATCTTAAATTTTCACTTCATTGTTCTGTTCAGTCAGACAGTTCAGTGCTGTTTTTGTTTTTATAAAAAAAAACTTAATTAAAATGGGACATAAGAAAAGTACATATAAAACTAAAGTTAAATATACATCGACATATATTACCGATAGTTTATCCGCTCCCTCGTTTATTTAGATTATAGAGGGCGGCACAAGCTAGACTCTAGGATGACTAAATTAGGCAATCTTGCGACTAGTATACTACCTGTTAAGGCCGAACTGCGACTTTATTAGTCCAGTATGCGACCACTCGAACTACTCCATCTTAATCTCTAAAACAACAAAGTGAAAGCCGCCATGTTGTTAAATAAGAAAATGTTTCGTTCCTAAAGTAGCAATTCCTGCTTTTTGAATACATTAACTTGAAATATTTGACCCTAAAAAACACGCGGAAACAATTTTTTCGACTGCGAATAAATTATTCTCATTTTAATAAAAAAAAAATTCAAGGAAATTTATAAAACTTCTTTAATTTTAAGGCCCATTAGTATTTTTCAAAGCAGAAACAATACATTTATCAATAAAGTTGTTTGCGTTTAACTTTTTTGCCTTGGGTAACGAGTTACAGAGTCGGTTAAAGTGTTTCAATAATTATGATCTTCAAACATCCCCCACACTTAAATATTTTTGTTTTGTTTTCCTTCACTGCCATCTGACATATGTCTCTAACTAAATCATAAAAATATATTTTACTATAATTATCCCAATTTAGAATAAAACGCGACTTAGACGCCATATTAGTTTTGTATTTCTGTGAATTAGGATTTTAAACAACGTTGCAGTTTGTACTAAATTAGGCTTCTAGCCAACGTCGGTATCCAACGTCGTTTCGACCCAAAAATCATTCTCCAAACTAGTGCAGACTAGGGTTGGCACGAGGTTGTGCCGACGTTTGGTCGCGTGACACAACGTTGTCCCGACGTCCAAATGCTGCTTGGGAAGCCATGGGCTTTTTCAAAAATCTGAAAGGTGCATATTTATAACCCCAGAAAACTATAATTCTTTCCCCATTTAACCGACTCTCTATCTTCAGTGGTTTCCGAGATACCCATAGAGAACATCGTTTGAAACTCACCCTGTATAGGTAAAATATAGGAGGTACCGCAAAAGTTATAGAATTTTTAAATTTCTATTAGCGAGTAATACATTTAAGTATACAGGGTCGGTCATGAAGTGGTGGCACATCAAAGTTTTATTTTTTAAAATAGAACCTCCTGTATATTATTGCATATTTTGTTTCCGTTAATTTTTCCTATATTTTAGTTATGCTATTCGGGAGACGTATCCCAAAAATCAGAGATTATTAATATCGATCCAGCCGTTCCTGATTTATAAATGGCTTGACTAACCCGTCTTTGTTTTACTTATTTGGATTACTAATAGTGATATTATTTGTTGCAGTGTTAATTTTAAGAAAAATGAAAAAGACTACGATGCAACTAACAGTGCCGTCTACCGTATGCTCAAAGAAGCAGAGAATGATCCGGAACAATCAGTAAATGATTCAGGTAATTTATTTTTATTTGATTAATAGTTTACTTAATGTAGATATTATTAGTTTGTTTCTTATGTTGTTATAACGAAGAATCAAGTAAAATTAATCTCTATTAGTAAATATACATAAATATGTAAGATTCAATTTATCAATCAATAGATCAAACGAAATAAATTATTATTTACTTCAATGGCAGCTGTGGCTATAGTGGAAAACTTAGACCACTACACGAGCAAGTTCCATTTGCGAGTATACAAGTTTCATTTGTGTCCATATTTTGTTATCTCCATAACTAATTATCTGTAGAGTTCATATAGCAACCCAATATGTTAAACACACTGTAAAACATAATTTAAATTATCTGTCTTTTAAGTAACTTGATTCTCCATTATAACCCCTAATAATCAATTCTTCTTTTTCCTCCGTTAAATCCTTTTCGGTTGTTTATTTATTCTGCCAACCAGAACCGGATTCCGGCATCGTAACCTCTAGTAACAAGGGGGTAGCAGGGCTGAGGCACGTCACGGCCCCACAGAACAAACCGGCGCCGGCCAATCCGCAGCTGCCTCCAGGGCAGAATATTTGCGCGGACTGCGAGAGGCTCATCGTGTAAGTATGGGAACATCTGTCTGGCTTAGTCATTTTGACGAGATGCGGTCTTAAAAACTATATTTTATAACAGCCAAAGCTACTTCCTCACCGGTAATTTTTTTCGTGTCTGTTGAATTAAGGAGGAAGCGCACTCTAAATCGACTCGGATCGGTCCACTCGAAAAAGAGCGAACGGCATCGGCATACTGACATGGCGTCGTGCATTGAATATCTTCTATCGGTAGTCGGAGATTGTGATCGGCAGTTTTTGAGTATAGATGAGGAGAATTAAATAAATTAGAAATGATTTTGTGTCGTTCAAGATTTTGTGTCCAGAACATATACTTAAAGAGAGAGATCCACGGAGTAACTAGAATTATACTAGACTTCATATTTTATGTAGAGGTCAGACACTTTAAGGCGCTTTTACCAGATATTGTGTATAAGGACTTATCTTTTTAACTATGCCATCTTTCTCTAATTAACTTTATGAAATAATAAAAATTGTTCTTCTGCTCTAAAGAAAATACAGAATTAGTACAGTCATTCTGGCATCAAAAAAGGTCTAGACTCCCATCAAATTACCTCCGATCTCATACTTTGCCAGTCGTAAGTGGTCCACTGGAAAAGCTTAAATCCGTATCCACCCACCCCAACGTTTTTGAGAAACTCAAAAAAATTGGATTCGAAGGATTTAAAAAATACTCATTACGTTATCTCGTCAAAATTGTTAAGGCAGGCCGAAATATTTTTATACATTTTTACAGGATATTTCACTACATTACGTCAACTGATATGGACGACAACTGTTCCAGACTATTATAAAATTATTTTCAGAAATATTTTTCGAAAGGAATAAAAAAAATTATATTTTTCTCTCTCAAATACTTTTTCTTATTGTCAACAGTAAATCGTACTCAAAACTTTGCGAATTACAACCACCCACTGGCCGAAAGAAAACCGAACTGTCATCCTACTAGTCCTACGCCGACGGCGTCGTCTGACAGCTGTCAAAAACCCCTTGAGAACGCCACGATTTGCACAGATTGCGAAAGAGTAATCGTGTAAGTCCAACTCGATGTTGGATTGATATTTCTATGTGCGTCCTCGTCATTATTTGGTTGTGATGCTCGTTTTTGATCTCTTATGGTCTATTCACAAAAATGTCACATCTCAGTTGCTGATTATACTAACATGGTTAGCAAAATGTGCGTCCAGTGCAAAACTAAAGTGTTTTACAGCAAATGAAACACTAATTTACCACAACATACCAAAACACTTTATTTCTTGCACTGGACGTGCGTTTCGCTAAAGATGTTAGCATCATCAGCAGATCATTAAAACGCATAATTAAACGGTTTTAATCATCTCCTGATGATGCTAACATGGTTAGCGAAACGCGCGTCCAGTGTAAAAGTAAATTGTTTTGGTGTATTGAGATGACACCTTGTTTTTTCAAGTTAGGTTCTACTTTAAAAGAGAATATAAAATGAATTTTTGGATATTCAATATTACTTATATAATTTGGTTTCATCATCGATTAATTCCTTAAAAATGGCGCATAACTAAAAGTTTAATTGTTATCCAATATAGTTAATTTGTCGTCTGTAAAATTACTCATTTCGGAATTTTTTAAAAAATCGCTACATTTAACAGTTCTTAACTAATTATTGTGAATAACCGCCACGGATGTTAAATTTCTGTGACTGGGACGGTACGGCAACGGAAATGAGATGTGACGGAAATGAGATGTGTGAATTGACCTTTACTGTGCATCGTACTTGTTCTGTCCTAGTAGTTCCAATCTTCCAATAACAATTAATATTTCTTATACTTTTTTAAATATGTGGGAAAAATTCATCTAAATTTTTCCATAAATAAAAAATTAGTACCTATTGCTTAAGTTATTTAAGGTTAAACTATTAAAATCTGCATTCTGTGATATTTAATTATTTTGTTCAAGACACATTTATTAGGAAATTTGAGTTGAAGCTTAATATCATAGCCTGCCTTGCATACATACTCTCATTACTCGCTGACGAGTATTCGACACGCATCAGAAGATGGTCACGCAAGGCATTTTCTTTCATGAGCTTTTCTGTGACTCAAAAGCCCGATACGTGATGTTATCTGCCTATCACACTACCGACATTCAAAAATCTCATTGCTTTGTTGCCTCTTTACTTTTTGATTGCCGCTGTTAACTGAGTTTACAATTCTTCTCCATTGAGTTCTATAGTGAGCTCCTTCTTCTCACTCATTCTGCATGTTAATCCCCTTTAAGTTTTCGTGGAAAATGTCCTTGTACCTTTTCAGTTGTCCACCCAGCCTCCTCTTACCGTCTACAAGCTCACCATAAAGCAGAGATTTTGGTATGCGGTTTTCTTGCATTCTCCATACGTGACTAGCCCTTTATCTTAAGCGGGATTTTGTAACCATGACTTCAAAACTCTCGCAGTTAGCTTTTTCAAAGACCGATACATTTGAGACATGATGGAACCACCGGATTCTTGAGAGTTGTCTAAGGTGTCTCTGATGCAACTTGTTTAATGCGTTTATGTGTCGGCAGTACGGCACAGGGTTTCGCTCCCATATAACATGGTGGGAATTATAATTGCTCGGTACACTACAAGTTTCGTTTTTGTACTCAAGTCATGATTGTAGAAAGCTCTGTCTTTTAATTTCCAGAATGCTTTTGAGGAGTTGCTAATCCTGTGCTGAATTTCAGAGTCAATATTGGCCTTTTCCGAAAGCCTGCTTTAATACATATACACAAGGATTATAATCCAAGAGCCAGGTGCAAAAACATGCAAGAATTTTTGAAGGCTCATATTTTTAAAATCGATTGCATTTTAGTGTTAAAAAGCAAATGTACAGTCAGCAGTTCCACATCCGGGGCACCTGGCGCTGAGAAGCGCGTAAAGGTGTAATTTTAATTAACACCTCCAAACTGTTTTCTGAATGCTGAAAATTTGCAGATAACATGCGAATGCTACGAAAGAGTAGAGCGCCATCGCAACACTGAAAAATATTTTTAGCAAAATATACACTTTTTCTGTAAATTTACACTTTTTCTACTCTTTTTCTGTAAATTTACAGATTTTCTGTAAATTTACACTTTTTCTGTCAATTTCTGCGTTAGTGGCAACAGTGGGGCGTTATTCTACGAGTAGAAGTAGTCCCATTCATTCCCCTACGCCAGTTTAATAACAAAAGTCTTCACTAGTAAAGAGAGAATTAGGGAACCATTGCGGCAATTAATTGAAGGATTGAAGGCATGCGGACTATATGAAAAGATTACGCAATATTCCAGTATATTCAATGATATATTTTGTTCTGAAACCACACTCAAAAATCAAAATCAAAAATACTTGAAGAATTATTCCTCATCGTCTATACTGAACCTGGGTCTAACACCCGTAGTACGTACAGAAAATTGGGTGATTTGTTATTTTTGGGATTATGTATTGGATTTCGAATGTGTGTGATATAATAGTATGTATTTCTTTTTGTTTAATATGTTTTCTAATAGATATGCTTTAAATCGACCCGGAAAGTATTGTCACCCTTTCCGATGCATTAATGTTTGCAACAGGATCTGATTGTCCTCCACCTCTGGGATGACGTAAACTGTCGTCTGCAAATGACGTAAACTTAGGATATAACCATCCTCTAGCAGACATGTCAAAATTTCTTTGTGACTTAATCCGACTTGAAAGTAGGTTTGGTTTGGTTTGATTAATTTTTAAATATTAATATAATTTAATGTATTTGCCCATAATCTCTGATGAATATCTGTACTACGTAGGCAAAATAGCAACTTAATCAGCGGAGAACAATGCTCACTTGTAACTAGTGAGTAACGAACAGGTCGATGCCGAGACGTCGCGTCGTCCTGCTGGGTAGTAAATTTCGCTTGCAATGTGTAAATTTACAGAAAAAGTGTAAATTTACACTTTTTCTGTAAAAAATCTGTAGATTTATAGAAAATGTGTAAATTTAAAGGAAAAGTGTAAATTTAACATTTACAGAAAAAGTATAAATTTACAAAAAATCTGTAAATTTACAGAAAAAGTGTAAATTATGCTAAAATTATATTTCAATGTTACGATGGCAACTCTACGGTTTTATAGAATGCAGTGTAAAACAAAATACAGGGTGGCCCATCGAAAACGTTCCGCAAGGCATAACGGCCAGGGTAATATTTTTTTCAGAAAATTCAAAAACACGTCAATTTTGTGTGTGAGGGGGACAACTTTTGCCTCAAAAATGATTGCAAAATCTTCAACCCTCTAAGTGGGGGTGTCATCCCCCAATTTTTTTCAAATGGGAAGGGGGGTCAAGTGGTACTGCAATGAAACGGGCTTTCTATTCTCTATACTTTCCCGCTTCGTTTTTGAAAATCGGTCAAGTTATTGAGAAAATATGAAGGATTGAAATTTGAAAAGTTTATTTAAACATTTATCAGAGTAAATCATAAGGATAAATTCCTTCGACCAATTTGCTGCTTTTTCTTATTATTTCTAGATGTTTACGCATTTTTTCACTTGCCACAAGTTTGAACGATCAGGTGCGGTAGTTGCTAGATGGCTGTTCTGTAACTTATGCGTTGAAGTTCTTCTCAATATCGTTAAACTTTTTAACAATTATGATGTACTCGCTTGCAGAAAAAGTGGAAATAATCGAACTTTATTTTAAAAATAATGAATGTGGCAATCGTGTTGCGCAAATATTCAATGAACGCCATTCTGACAAACACCTTTATGGCAAAATTGTTCGCGAGTTAGTAGTAAAATTTCGCGAAACTGGTTCCGTTATGAATAAAAAGAGGCAGAGGGAAAATCTTAGTAGTAATACTTAGTAGTAATCTTAGTAGTAATCTTAGTAGAAAATCTAGTAGCAGTAAATGAAGCTATGGAGGTATTTGTATTGGGTCAAGTTGCCATGGATAGTACCATAAAATAATGTAGTTACCATAACAACAACTGTGGTAACTACATTATTCTATGATAGTACGATGAGTACAAGAAAATTAGCCAATAAGTCTGGCGTGAATCGTACAAGTGTCCAAAGAATATTAAAAAAACTCTAGTTCCACCCGTACAAAATTCAGTTGGTACAAGAACTCACGAAGGCGATTTTCATCGTCGCTTGCAATTTTGTGAAACTATGAGTAGAGTGGCGTATGATAATAATTTCCTATTTAATGTATGTTTTTCGGATGAGCGTACTTTCTTTTTGAACGGTGTAGTTAATCGGTACAACTGTCGGTACTGGGCTGAGGACAACCCCAGGGTTTTTCACGAGCTGCACACACAAAACTCTCAGGAATTGAACGTGTGGGCTGGTATTTTTGGAAATTCTATTGTAGATCAGTTTAACAATATTGAGAAGAACTTGACAACGCACAAGTCACAGAACAGCTATCTAGCAACTACCGCACCTGATCGTTCAACCTTGTGACAAGTGAAAAAATGCGTAAATATCTAGAAATAATAAGAAAAACCTCAAATTGGTCGAAGGAATTTATCCTTATCATTTACTCTAATAAATGTTTAAATAAACTTTTTAAATTTCAATCCTTCATATTTGCTCAATGACTCGACCGATTTTCAAAAACTAGACGGTGAAATATAGAGAATAGAACGCTCTTTTCATTGCGGTACCACTTGACCCCCCTTCCCATTTGAAAAAAAATGGGGGATGACACCCCCGCTTAGAGGGTTGAAGATTTTGCAATCATTTTTGTGGCAAAAGTTGTCCCCCTCCCAAAGAAAATTGACGTGTTTTTGAATTTTTTTTGAAAAAAAAATACCCTGGCCGTTATGCCTTGCGGAACGTTTTCGATGGGCCACCTTGTATAACAGTTCAGACAGAGCAGTATGGAGACACAAAGCGTCAACTCTGCCTAAAACGCACTGTCATAAAAAAATTATGAGTCAAAAGGGGGTTTCGGAAATAAAATCCTAGATTACGTGGTTTACTAATCAGCTGTTCCAAGATCAGTGCTGAGAGTAATCAGCTGGTAGTTTAATTACGAACGGTTGGATCATTAGATTTACCGGGTTAACAATCACATTTAAATATATTTCGTAAAAAGAGATAAATTAAACAAATATAAAAAACAAACAAAAAAAAACCTCTTTAACGATTGTATAAGATCTATTTTTATCCTATTTGTTTTGCTTTAAGTATACTTTTTAGTTTCTGTAAGACTATTTTTTATAAAAACAAAATGTGTTTTATTTTAGGCTTTTTTAAAATTATGCCATTTAAAACAAAAACACTATAAACTTTATTTTAATCATTTATTTACTGCCAACATAATAAACATTCCATCATATTAATAATAAAAAAATATATCAATTTTTATCTACCAATTGTGATGAAAATTTTCAGAATTGTCTATCAAGTTCCATTCTTTCATTATGCCTGGCTATTTTAATCTAAATGTTTTAAACCACTTTTCTGTAGTTGAGTTTTCATTTTTTTCCTATTGGGTGTCTCCGATAGTGCTTTTTCGCAGTCAGTATCTTTAGAATTACTTGTTGGTTTTTTATTTATTTAAAATCTAGAGTTACTTGATGCTATGCTGATTGGCTCATTTGACTTTACGGTCACTAACAAAATATCATGTATTTGATCAACATTAGATAAAGTGATTTCGGACAAAACGGTTATTAAAAAACTTTATACTTCTATGCGGACCGTTACGTTTAAAATTACCCTAGAAATGATCAGCTGATTAATTCTACCCACCTCATTAGGAGGGTTAGTAGGATCACAACATATGGCAAAAATCGAGTTATTCGGATCACTTTCCGAACGCATTGACTCGTTTTGAGATCACTTTTCGAACGTCTGGATTAGTAATCCTATCAATCCGATCAATCAGATCACAGTTTCCGAAAACCCCTAAAGTGATTTCTGAAGGCTAAGGATATTATTCACTCTATTACATTTTTTTAACCATCTATTTTTGAAATTTAATTACATTTCTTAATAAAAGGTTAACACAAAAATGTGCACGTATAATTGCCTGACATGTAATATAGTCCAATGTAGATCTGTGTCGAATGAGGTGCATGTAGGTAGACATTAGATTTGTTTCAACACATTTTTTATAAATCTATTTAAATTGTGCTTATTTTAATTATTCTAAAATGGCGTGCCTATAAATGTACAACAAAGTTCACTTCGGGTACCTAAGTATATTATAAAAAAATTACACAATAATATTAATGTTGAAATAAATCTATTAGTAGAAGCATGGTATTATCTTATTATTTTGTATATCTATGGCACTACCGTCTTTTTATTGTTGTAAGGCATGTAAATAGCTTACCACTTACTAGACTTTTATAAAGTATAGACCAAACTAAATATTAGAATTAGTTATTCAGGTATAAATAATATATATAAAATATAAAACGTTAGAATCAGGATCTGTGGAGTTTGGATATATTTAGATTATTCTTTAATCTGCGTTTTGATTGTTATACAATATCTTAAATCATTGATTTGATTTTCGGTAGTAAAATGGATTTTATAATATATTAATATTTCTTATATTTCAGAGGTGTTTTTGTAAGAATCAAAGACAAGAATTTGCACGTTGAGTGCTTCAAGTGTGCCACTTGCGGTACTTCTTTGAAAAACGTTGGGTAAGTACCTTGTACCTAATAGGTTATTTTTAAAGCAGACTCTATCTGAGTTTTATAATTATTTTAGTTATACTAATACTGATTAGATATTAAGACATGTATATTTTTTAATAGTAATAAAACTTTTAAAATACAAAATTAGTTGTTTTCTGAGTTGTTCATTTACTACATTATTGAAAGTAAAATTATTATATTATTAAAAGCTAGAATTTTGAGTACTTTTATGGGCATTTACTTTTAACATAACTTTTAAACATCATTTCTTTTTTTTTGTTCTAGGTACTACAATATTAATAATAAACTTTATTGTGATATTCATGCCAAGTCAGCAGCAATTGCAATAAACAATCCTGCAGCCGTTCCTGTTACTATTCCTCCGTAAGTAGAAATATTCTTTTTTTGTTTACTAAGCAAATAAAAATCGTTAATTACAGACAGCTACGCAAATCACAATACGAAGAATATTTGTAAATAAATCCCTATAAAACATTTTCAGGAAACCAATTTTATATATAAATTATTGAAGGTAGTTTTATTAAAATCATATTTAAAGAAAAATAATAAAATATTATATTATAGATACTAGCTAATCCGGCAAACGTTGTTTTGCCATATAATAGTAGGGGAAAGTGGGGTAAGTTGACGAAGCGGGTAAAATGACGAATGTCGATAAAATCATTATAACGTAATATATTTCCATTCGCATAGGAAGCGCCATCTCGTTAGTGTACCCTGAAGTAACTCAAATAGTTTGGAAAGGCTTGGACGGCGTGCTTTTCTGTTAGAACTGATTTGTGGATTTCACGTGTGTCGGTAAACATTTTCGTACAGTGTTTTTAAGGTTTACAGTGTTCCAAATTAAGGTAAGACCGAAATAAAATATTACATATAAAAAACTAGGTATATATGCATGTTATGCTAAAAAAGTTTGCATAAACAAAGCTATTTATTAAATATTTTCTCATGGAACATTAAACATAACCTCTAGGGGCAAGATGGCCCGGGTAAGTTGACGAGTTCGTCATCTTACCCTACTGATCGTCATTTTACCCCATTATTTAATTTATTACAGCTCCGAATGGAGAAATAAGTATTTCGTAAAATGTTGTGCTCTTTTTAGATGCCTCGAATATACCAAAGAAAGACAAACAGACGTGCGTGGGATGAAAATGCTATGATTGCGGCTGTGCATGAAGTATTAGATGGAAAATCTTGCAATGGTGTGGCTTCTCTATACGACATCCCAGAACCGACTCTGCGCAGGTATGTGAAAAAAATGAAAAATGATCTGCAACTACCGATGCATGGAGGGAGATATTCTACTACGTTTAATTTAAACCAGAGCCAGGCACTAGTAAATTATATTACCTTGATCGACAAAAGAGGTTTTGGATTGACAGCCATACAACTAAGGAAGTTAGCCTATGACTTTGCTGAAGAACAAGGAATAACACATCGTTTTAACAAGGAACGGAAACTAGCAGGAAAGGATTGGTTATCTAATTTCATTAAAGATAATAAAATAAGTCTAAGAACTGCTGAGGCCACTTCAGTTGCGCGTTTAATGTCTTTTAACAAGCCCGCTGTCCAAAAGTTCTTTGACATTCTACGCGAAGTTCTGGAAAAATACAAATTTAGTCCCGACAGAATCTACAACGCCGACGAAAGTGGCCTGTCGTCTGTTCCGTGCAAACTACCAAAAGTTTTAAGTCCAGTCGGGACTAGAAGAGTAGCTAAAGCTGTTTCGGCCGAACGAGGCAAAAATACTACTGTTGTGTGCGCAGTTAATGCAGTTGGCAACTATGTCCCTCCTTATTTTATATTTGGTCGCATTCGTATGAAGGAAGAATTACTCTATGGTGCTCCAATAGGTTCGGATGGCACTGCACAAAAAAATGGATGGATGTGCACTGAAATTTTTGTTAAATACTTACACCATTTTTCCAAATATGCTCATTCATCGCCGGAAACCCCTGTTCTTCTTATGGTAGACAATCACTCTTCTCACATATCTTTACCTGCAATCAACTATTGTAGGCAAAAGGGGATAATCATGATTGGATTCCCACCACATACAACACACAGGTTACAACCGCTTGATGTATCATTTTTTGGCCCGCTGAAGTCGTTTTTTAGCCGAGAATGCGACAATCATCTCGTAAATCACCCTGGGCAGCTAATTGGGGACAAACATATTTGTCAGCTATTTGGAAAAGCATATAATAGGGCCGCAACGGTATCAAATGCTGTGAACGGCTTTAAAAAATGCGGTCTTCAACCTTTTGACCCTTTTGTATTTGGCGACGACGATTTTGTAATGGCTGAAACAACTGAAAGGGCACCGCATCAACCACCCGTTTATCAAAATTCCGATAATGAATCTGATGATGATATTCCTCTAATAAATTTTGTGAAACCCCAAAAGGATATTGAGAAAAAATCAACAATAAATATGACTTCAAATTCCCCAACAAGTGAAATAGTTTCAAGCACACCTCGTCATTTCGAAAAAGTAACGCAAGTAAAAAGAAATCTGTTTAGGGCGGAAAATAAAGAAAATGAGCCAATTCCTGGAACGAGTCAAACCGATAATAAACTGAATGAAGTGACACTTCAAAAAATTCGACCTTTTCCAAAAGCCGAAAGGGGGGGAAATTGTAAAAGGAAGAAGTTGACAGCTAGTGTAATAACCAGTACACCCATTAAAGAACAGTTGGAGGATAAGGAATATCAGATAAGACAAAGAGAAGAAAAGAAACGAAAAATTATAGAAAAAAAAAGTCAAAAAATCCCTAAGAAGCTAAAAGAATCAACAATTGCTTCCAAAAAAGAGAAAGTAATGCCACTGACCCCTCCCAAGAAAACTAAAGAATCTATTTTCTGCCCTGGTTGTGATGAATTATACCAGGATCCCCCAGTGGAGGACTGGATTAGTTGCAGCAATTGCCAGTATTGGTGGCACGAAGCTTGCAGCAACTACAATGGTGTAAGTGAGTTCGTTTGTGATTACTGCTAAATCCATTATGTTAGTCAACTTACCCCATTATGTTAGTCATCTTACCCTTTAGTGGGGGTAAGATGACAGATTTGCAGTATATTAAAAAACATGTTTTGTTCAGTTTAAAATAATTTGTTTATTTTTAAATATATGTGTTTTTTATAGTAAAATGTGTGTGTTAATCAAAATAGAATACAACACTCTCGTAACTTGAAAATTTAAATAAAAAAATCTATATTTTGCTTAACATCGCCAACTTACCCCACTTTCCCCTATATTGTTTAGTAAAAATGACACTTTTTGTGACGAGGCTGTATGTTTGACTGACATACAGCCGAGGCACAAACAGTAATTTTTACCCCTAATAGAACATGCTATTTTTTCAAATGCCACAAATAAGCTTTTAAACAATTTCCAACGTTTCAAATAATAGCTTTTTTCGTTTTCCTGTTATTACCGATTCTGAACCGTCCTAGAATTGTGATGCGTCTGCGCAGAAGGAAATATGAAAACATTATTTCATTTGCGCATGCGCTGGATAGTTCTAGGACGATTCAGAATCGATAATAACCATGCCCTAGACACTCAATGGTAATTTTATAGAACTCCAAATTTAGTTTCTTCCGCATCGCCAGATGGCGCAAAAGACATTAAAGTACAGGTTTCTAATTTATATATGAAGATGACATGATAGTCCCTATGTTGACTATTGTCTGTGGTCTAGTTTTTGTCTAGTTGACATCATGTTGACATGTTGACAAAATGTTGGTGATCCGTCAAGTTATTTTTAAATCATTATTTTGATCATTATTTAAATAATCATTAATTCAGATATTCCTGATTTATCGGAAAGTTCGGTGATTTCAGTGATTTGTGTTTATAGTTTGTGTTTTATTAGTTTGTGCATTCTGATATTTAGAGTCGATCATCATTTTCGTGTTAGATACTAAACTTTTTTATTAAAGTCATTCTGACATTTTAGAAATTATAAATTTATGAACCAAATAAAAAAAATAGTTTAATCATAAATAAGTAAATACATAGTTGGTAATATATAGTATTTTTTGTAACAGTTAATTAGTAGTCTATAATATTTTTGCTATATAATTTATTTGTTAAATCAATAAATAGGCGCTATGTGCTCTATTGTTGGTGTTTAAAATGTATGTATATATTTTAATTTTGTTATAATTATGTTACACTTCTAATGATCTAATAAAACATAAAATGGGCAACAAAAAAGTCTATATTTATTATTTTATATTTTGCAAGGAGTAATTTTGAGCTTGAATAACGTTACCGTTTTAGTTAGCGTTAATAAGTAACGGAACGCTAAAATTATGTTATGCCAAAACTCTCCATTAGTTTCTTCCGGATCACCAGGTGGCTCTAAATGTCGGACCCATTTGTTTTATATCAGTATCCAATCTATCTCTAGTACATGACATTAGTCTATGATAATAACAGGAAAACGAACAGACCTAATATAAAAAGATTTAAAAGTCATACCTTGTACAGTCATACAAATTATATATCGAGAAACTATGGTTACGCTCCTTGAATTTGATACTTTTTCCATAGCAACTGTTAAAATTGCCTTATATCTATCAAAAATGGGAGATAAAATAGTACCCCTTTAGAACTTTTTCTTTAATGGCCATAAGCGGGAGTAAAAGACCAACCGCCCGAACAAACACTAGAGGCGCCACCGGTCATCAAATGGTGTAAAAATTGCGAAAATTTAATCATCTAATTTTAACACAAGGGGTCGCGCTTAACTTTTTTAATTTTAATTCAATATTCATTGTTTTCAAACTATATTAGGTATTAGACTTTGCTGTATTTTGTAAATGTATAAATGTTTTCTTAGTATAAAGTTGCATCATAGTAATTTAAATTATATTACATTCATATTTAAGATTCAAATATTATGACATATATGTCAGTTGCCGTCTAAAATCTTGATAAAAAGTTAGTTATTGTCAAAAGTAGTTAAAATCATGTTAAAATTTTAAAATTTACAAGTTATAATTAGATATTTTATATTATTTCAACAACACACACATAATAGTACAGCGTAATGTTGATATGCAGGTCCAAAACAAAAAGTGCCGTTATATTTTTCAGTTTTCGTTGTCAGCCGCGGAAGTTTCAGTGATTTTAGTGTTGTCGGATATTTTTATTTGTGAAATAGAAATATTGCGTTTGGATTGCAAAACTAAAAGTGGAAGTTTTATTGCAATGTAAGCAAGCGTTTGTCCATTTCATATTTTACTTTTTTCATACCTACGACAAATATACATATATTGAAATTTTATAATTCGTTTTATTTAAAAAATGTTAGAAAACAAGCTTGTAATCCTGTAATTGACATAATTGTTATGTAATATATTTCATTTAAATGCAATATATTACTTTTCAATTAAGAAAATGTAAATTTAAAAAATATATTAAAAATATATACAGGCATTAATTGAATTTTTTTGAGTGCGAACAAACACGAGAGGCGCTTTATTATTTACTTTCATTTCTTAACATGACAGACAAAGTTCTAATAGTACTTTAACCGCAATGGTAGAATAAATAATACTTTAACACAGGGAGTATAGGATGAGTATACGTTAAAAACTTTATTTCTTCTCGCACGTTTTTTAATTGCTCTCATTTTTGAAAATGTTTGTATTACTTTTCATAAGATATTCGGGATTTAAATTGAAGTAGTTTGGATATGGCGTTTGTCGCCTCAGCCTGAATATCTGTTGGTAATTTACTTATTTCGTTTTGAACCATTTCTGGCTCCAATTCAATCAGCAATCGACACGAAAGAGAATTAAAACATATTTACTCAAAACTGACAACTAAAGAGGCAGTGAGAGGCAGCCTTATTTATTTGTCAAATTACATAGAAACAACGCCAACCCAACACAATATTTTTTCTACTCGTAATAAATTCCTTTAAATAATAATTTCTGAATAATTTTTAAAACGTAACTCGCTATGGAAAAAAAATACTGTTTTATACACGACGCTAAAATACCATTTTCCCGTCTTGTATAAAAAATAACTATTATGTCAGTTTAATAATATATTTTTTCGTACTTAACTAAACTAAAAAAATATATATTCCATGAACAAATCCAACTTTAGTGTGAAAATGACTTGTTCGATACTGTCGCAGGTATATAAAATTGTATATTGTTTCACTAATTTGTTAATTGCATTTAAAATAATAAATTTAGTCTCAATTTAATTTTTAGTGGTGGTAAAGCTCCTGTAAGTGCTATCTCAGCTGCACTTTCGAGTCACTCCTTGCCATCACCATCTCCGTTATCTCCAAAACTACCAACTTACGCTCCATCATATCCCGTAAGTATCATATTTTTTTCCATATATAATCACAAAATATATTTCTTTTTCTTTTTAATTTCTTTCTAACTTATACATTTTAAATCATTTAACCTGTAATTTTGATATTGTCTAAAATAAAGTAGCCAATTGACTATTTTATTAAAACCTGGAATATACTATACAATGGTTCGAACTCTATCCCGAAAACTTCGACAGCATATTCTGCAGATAAAAATAAGTCAAAAAGTTCGTATAAATGTATGTCCTAAAATGCTTAATTTTGGAGATTCAGGGTGTAGAAATTTCATTTTTATTTCGATTTTTTCCAAATAATTTCTGAAGTAACGTCAATATTTCGATGAAAATTGGTGTATGGGAGTTTTTTGACATGAGACATTTGGTTTTGATGTCAATATGACTCCCATTTGTAGGGGGCGCCCCCTACATGTGTTTTAACAATTTTGAAGAGTAATAACTTTTCGTCCGTACCTGTATAAAACTACTGAGTAAAAAAATATAAATTTCCATGAAGTTTTACGTAAAAAATATCTCTTGGTAAAAATTGTTACGAGCAACCATTCTCAAGAACATGGAAATAGTCAATACATGTCATTATTTACAAAAAAAATAAACAAGTTGAGTAGATAGTAATTTGACTGAAATAATACATTTGGGAAACTTTTATTTTTTCAAATTAATCATAAATTTTTCTACGAAAAAATGATACAGTTTTGTTGAACTTTTGGCACAAAAACATTTCTAATTTATGATTTGAGTCTAGTAACTATTTAGTCGACATATTTAATTGATGGCAATAATGATAATTTTGATTTCAAATATCTCGAGAACGATTTTTACTAAGAGACCTTTAAAAACGTCGTAAATGTATATTTTTTAATCAGTAGTTTTATACTGGTACGGACGAAAAGTGATTACTCTTCAAACCAGTTAAAAATATGTATGTGGCGGCCTCTACAAGAAGGAATCATATTGACATCTAAATCAAATTTCTCACGTCAAAAAACTCCCACAATTTTCACCCAAATATTGACGTTACTTCAAAAATTATTTGGAAAAATATCGAAATAAAAATGAAACTTCTACACCCCGTATCTCCGAAACTAAGCATTTTAGTACATACATTTATACGGACTTAATTAGTTATTTTTATCTGCAGAATATGCTGCCGAAGTTTAACGAATACAGTTCGAACCACCCTGTATATTTTCTCCATTTATTTATTTTTAGGTAAATTTACTTTATTTGGAATATTCTATCGTTAAAACTTAATCAAATAAAACAAGAATGGCAATTCAATTATCTACTTTTATTTTAAACAAAAAACTTATTATATTGTTGAGTTTTATACGTAGTTAGTTTTCAAATTACTAGCTAATGCACATGGTCTTGTCTGCATGATGCACTCTTTTTTACACTAACCTCAGAGTATTTAAAAAGACATAGAAATAATCGCAAAAGATTTACATATCTATGAGTCAAAAGATAACTGTTCTCGGAAAGGATAGTGATAGTAAAGTTAGAAAATAGTGATTGATTATTGACCATTTTAAAATATAACCAAACTATCTAAGAGTAAATCCAATGTCTAAAGAATACAAGGACAACATGTAACGCCCATATACTGGCTGCCGCAAAATTTGTGATGTTAGACCCCATCATTTTGGAGCCTACGGATGAATCACCACCTCGTCAACAGCGACAATTTTAGCGATTTTTAATAATTTGTTGTGTGTTGTGAACTTTGTATAAACTTTATATATGGTGATGTGTTCAGTTTTCAAGTGTAAAAGCAGCAACGATAAGAAAGAGCCAGGAGTTGCTTTTTATAAGTAAATAAACAGTCCACTCCACCTTTTTAGCGTTTTCTTATTGAATTTGGTAATTATTTTTGTGATATTATATTATGTACTTGATATGTGCTATGAGTCGATGCTAGTTTTGTACCTTTTGTTAACATTTCAATAAGTTTTTTTCGTAATTAATTAGTATGATACCGCCGCCTCCACCATAGGCGTAGTCAAAACATTTATTAAAAATATAAATATCCTTTCAAGCAGCTAAGTTAAGAAAAATATGTGCCACAGCACTGTTTGGTGACATCGTAACAATTTGCTCTCGGGTGTTATTTGTCCTTGGATTCTTTAGTCATTGTATCCATTTTAAAATATAACCAAATTATCTAAGAGTAAAAATATAAAAAAGAACAAAACATTTCAGAGGATATCATATACCAATCTGTGTCTTTTGCTGCTCTGAGAAACTAACTTACTTTTAGCCACCTGCGGAAGAACCAATAGCCACACCTCCAGCTGACGTAGCTTCGAAGCCTTTCGCACCATCACCGCAGTTAAATTCTACAGCTCCATCTAGCGAACCTAACCCTAACATTTCCAGTAACACATCTCTGTATAATCCTTCCGCTCCTCTATCTTTCAGTAAATTTATTAACAAGGTGAGTGGGAAAGTATACCCCCAAATTTAACAGTTTTGTTATAGGTGATTAAAAAAGTATATAAAGTCATTTTTAAAGATATTATAATAACCGTTATTCCGATTTAAATGAGATTTGAGGTGTCTGTTTTGCTAAGTGCTTTAAAATTTGATTTTCACAAAAATTAAGAAAAAGTACGAGAAAGGTGAAAACTACCCCCACCCTTACGTAAATTTTAGTAGAAATATTTTCCAACACCATCGACGACTGATTTTGACCCCAAATCTCATTCAAACTGGAATAATGGTTCTTAAAATATCTTAAAAATTGTATTTATTCTTTTAAAGTTTGATGCCCTCTAACGGATAAACGAGTCACTATTGTATAGAGGTAAATTGTGTTCAATGAACTTATTTTGATTCCAAAAATACGTATAGTAGTTCTATACAGGGTGTCCGGAAATTAATGTAACAAAATTTGGTTATAGATTCTTGAAAAAAAAATAGATGACCCGTATTTTTTATTTTTGGCCAGGGGCCCCCCTTTTCGGATTTACAGCCCAAAGTCTAAAGCTGTTTGATCTCGATCTGCATTCAATCACATTTTGTCATTTTTAAATAATAAATGTAATTATTTTTAAAATCAAAGCGACAAAAAAATTTCTAAATTCAATGAGCTTTCTAACGAGCTAATAATTTTAAAGAAATTTAAACACGTGACCGAAGTTTTGGGGCTCCAAAAGCAAGGCGGCCCACGAAAAAGTGTCTTAAGAGGCTTCTTCGGCAAAAAGCATAGCAGGGGGTTTTGTGTAAAACCCCTGTGTACCAAATTTAGTGATTTTCGTCCAACAGGGCACTGAGATATTAAAAAAACTCTTTTTAGGGACGAAATTCAGGGGGCTGTAAATCCGAAAAGAGGGGCCACTGGCCAAAAATAAAAAATACGGGTCACCTACTTTTTGAAGAATCTATGACCAAATTTTGTTGCATTAATTTCCGGACACTCTGTATAGGGAATATTGGGATACCCTCTACTTTTTTTCATGGTTAGTCTGACCTTTTTATTGTTAATCTAAGGTCTGGCCCAATCTGACCAAGACAAAATACTTGGTTTGTTAAATGAAATATATTAATGGTTATAGTTGTGCCATTAGAGATAATCATACAATATAGAGACAGTACAGAATATCGTCTGAATTATATTTAAAAACAGCCAAAGATATCATGAACGCAACTTTACCATTTACCTAATATTTCATGAAACAAGCTAAACGTTTTTATTTTTGATAATTACTCGGTGAATCTCTTTGTTACTTAAAAGGGGTTGGTTCTTGACTCCTGAATATGAAGACATATTCAGATATTTAATTAAAGGATATTCATATTCATACTTCTATTTAAGATGAAAGCTGGTCCTTACTTTTCTTCATTTTGTTTGAACAATAAATACAAGTTGAAGTGTATGGAAAATTAGTTTTCAAATCTAATTCTTTTAATATAGCTTCACTAGCCTTCCATTTATTTCTGCATAAAATTCACTGCTTGGCCTATAAACTGCGACATTTTTTATGACAAAGTTTCGTAACTCATATGTTAACTGTAAAGAGACTTCTCGAATTGGTTGTGATTTTGTATACATTTTGTAGACATTTTATATTTACGAGATCAAGAAAAAATGTCTAGACCAACTTAATGTATTTAACTAGGATTTAAAAAGCAGTTATTATTTACATCAACAAAGCTCACCTCTTTAGCAAGACTTAAGGGACATAAAGGGCCATTACTGCCCTTATGCTAGTAAAAAAAATTAAGCTTAAAGTATAGCAACACAATTTATTTAAACCAAAAACTCGTAATACAAATCAGTTAATATACTAATATATCTGAACCATAATGTTGCGTGTGCTGATTATGCATCAGATTATCATTTTCCATATTACTTTAGTCGGCAGCCTCATCTGGACCCAAACCGTTCTCCAGTGTCAGTGCTCCACTCTCTCCTGGAGGCACTTTACCCAGAGCTGCACCTCTATCTCCACAGAGCAACTTTAACAGAGCTCCTCTATCTCCACCATCTGCACCATCTTACAGTTCTTACAGTCCTGCCTCAACAGCTGGTAAGTTTTTAATAATGTCTAAACTTCCATACTCTTCCAATTATCTATCCAAAAATCTAATAAAATATGTTTAATAGAATTTAAAAACAATTTTTATGGACAATCAGTTATATTTACACCAACAATCCAATAGTTGAATGAAGAAAGAATGATTATTTATTTTTTTATTAGATTTTTGCAACTATTTCTTATTTGGATCAAATATACGTTTAGACTTTCTTATCTATGTAATTATATTATTGCAAAACATAATATGTTCAAATTATAGTAGCATATAACTTTGCACACAAACTATGTTATGTATAGTTAGAGAAATACCGTATTATTGGAAAAAACGGTATGACAGTGGCTTCCGAAATGATAATCTTGCAATTGCATAAAAATTGTTAAAAATTCAATTTAGAAATTTTAGAAACAAAAATTAGTAAATTACATAATACACAACATATTTAATAATCACATATACATTATTGCCCTACAGAATATAGTATCATTTCTAAGGTCACTATGGCGTTTTTTTTTGGAAGAAATAATAATTAAATTGCAGTAAACTTCTACCTTAATTTGTTTTGAGAAATTAATGAAATACAGTAATATTAGACTTACAGCCAAATCAATATTTATCCGAAAAGAATTATACAAGAATAAATAAAGACTGTAATTAAACTGCCGTTAAACGGTAGCTTACTAAAATGCGGTTAATAGGTATGACGTCGTTGATGTGACGCACTTGACGGCTTTATGAAATATAGGAATTTTATAAGGACTAACCAACGCTATCCACCCCTCCAAATAACCAACTTAACCAACGCAACTAATCTCAACACAGATAAAATATATAAAAAACAAATATAAATTAATAAAAATCAACCAACCCCACCAAATAACCAACTAACCAATGAATTAACACCCTCCAAATAACCACGCTAACCAACCCGCCAAATAACTAAACCAAGCCAACCAAAAAGAGTGAAACCAATGCAATAAGATCACGCTATAAGCAAAAAAAAAATAAAAAAAAGTCTTGGTCGGCGTGAGATTTGAACTACGGACCATTCGCTTACGAGGCGATAGCCTCAGCCACTGACCCCCAGGTGCTCTTGCAAGATGCTTAAGGTTAGACATTACTTTCCGCCGACATGAACGACCCAATATCTATTAACGGTATTTTAGTAGGCTACCGTTTAACGGCTGTTTAAGTACATCGATAAATAAAGTATCTCCATTGAGAGCATACTTTACACGTTGCATAGACATATTTACAAGAGAGCATAGACACGTTGTTGCTTGTCATTGTCATGCTTGTCATCAGTTCAGAGGTTGAACTCGTTGGATACACTTTAAAATTTAAAAAAAGTACTAAAAAAGAAACGCTATATAACAAAATATAAACTTTAGCTTTACTGGTAGAATATAGAGTCGGTGTTTTAACTTATTATACATTGTATATGTCCATGGTATATTAGCATCCTATTCTAATTCTTAGGGCGAACTTCTACACATAACCCTTCAAGTGGCCTTTTCAGAGGTACAAACCAGGCTCTTGTTCTTTACCCTGCTTTAGTTCATAGCTAACTTTTTTAAGTCATTCATTTATTATTTATTTTGTAATACCTTGCAACACCCTTTATTCATACATCCCATTTTCAAATCTGATCACTTATTATTTTTATTAAGAATACTAAGTTATATTATCTGTATTATCTACTCTTTTAAGTTTTCCTATATGTATGGAATAGCCTCGAAAGTTTCAACGATTTTTTAAATTGAATATCTGTGTATTAAGTTACAAGATATTGTCATTGTATACACAATTTAGGTATATTAGAAAACCGGGGTTTGTAATAGCACAGCCTAATCATTAGACAGCCTGTCAATTTACGATCATTTAGATGCAACTTTGTGTATGTCCACGGATTGTCTTCATGAGAGGAAAAACATTGTTGTTATTGACATGTGGAGAAAAATTTATTCTTTATAAAAATTTTTGCTTGTTCAAAAATGGTTATTTCCACATTACTTTTTCAAGTTGCCATACTGTTTTAGAAAAAATTAAAAAAAACATCAAACAAGTCTTAAAAATCAAACGGCGGCGGCGTTTCTATGGTCATATAATTTCGATATCGTTCTTTTATAGATGGTTATTTTTAATTTTGATTAACGTCATATTTTTTGCTGTTACTAAAGTATCACATTTTTCGATAACTATTATTACCCTTTTCGTAGCGTTGAACTAAATAAATTTTGTGCTACTGTAAGTATAAACGGGATTAACCATTTTAGAACAAGCAAAAATTTTTATTAAGAATACATTTTTCTCAAAATGTCAATAATAAAAAAGTTTTTCCTTTTGTAAAGACAATCCGGGGACAGTATAGAAAATAAAAATACAAAAAAAGAAAAATTGAAAAAAATAACTTTTTTTAATTTCGAAAGTTTACTATGTTCGGATTTATCCGGCTCGAAGGATCAATGTTTTTTTTTTAATTTAAATGAAAGAAAATATTATTAAAGAAAATAATTTTTTTTAATTTTTATTTTTTTTACATTCAAAAGTAACTTTAAAAGGCATGTTTATAATTATCTATGATATAATTGTCTAGCCCATCTACATTTTTTTTTGGTCCTTCGAGCTGGATACTGTATAGGAAACTCTTAAATCTACATTTATTTTTGTTGTCATTCTTAATTACGTAAAAAGAAATATAGATTTAAGACTTTCCAAAACAGAAATGACTTTATTTTCTAATTTAATGAGAGGCTAAAAAGCCAAATAATTAAGCTTCAAACTGCTTAAAAAATCATCAAAATGAACCCACTAGATCAAAATATATTGAACTTTGAATTGCATGTTTTTGATGCGGGTCAGTGAATATTAAAAATAAATAATGGATTTGGTCCACTTTTACTCTAGACCAAGGAAACTAGGTCTGAAAGATGTTTTATAAATTCTATAGAAATTTTCTTCAACTTATTTTAGTTATCTCAAATGACAATGTTTTGTGATAGACAGTATAGTAATCTCTTTTCAAGTGTACTGACCCATCGCATTGCTTTTCCATAGACCTTGATTGGTATTCGTTGTCACTGCAAGCATTTTAAAAAGTTAATTAGCTTCATGTATTCATCGTATTCCAATACTTATACAACTGCCTCTCTGAATAGATTTGCGAAATCGATAATAGTTTCCTAAAATAGTATAACCAAAAACACAAGGTCAATATCGATCTTTTTTCTATTACAGATTGGTCTTTTAATTCCAAGCCTAGGCCCTTTTCCTTAGTATTGGATTAAACAAGCTTTTTAAAAAATTTGCTTGCTAAATTATGGCATTTCCAAAGTTTTTTTTGAAATTCTAACAATATACAACTCACTCTTATATTGGCCTGATTGAAACCAATAATTTTCTATTGTGTACGCGTTCATTTGACATAATAATATTTTATAATGTAAAAAAAACATATTTTAGTTTAGTCTTGGAGTAGACTTTGTTTTTTGGTTTGAATTTAGTTCTATGTTAAAAATAAGAAATGTTTTAAAGAAATATATAAAATAAGATACAAAAAAAGGACAGAGAATATCGAAATATATTTATTCATATCTTAAGGTTATGTAAAGTGATCTGAAAGGAAGCCAAAAATGCAATAATATACAGCGTGTTCCATTTAAAAAAATCATCCAGGTCCACTCACACTTTTTTGAGCCACCCTATAGAAGTTAAAATATTTTCCTGAAATACATCCTGGTACATATATTTTAGAATTGCACTTAAAGAAAATTCTCAAGTTTTTTATTCTAGGAGGTACGATGCCCGACGCACTATTGCCGGACCCTGTATAGAGACTTCACGATTTTTAAATTATTTCTGCTTAACAAAAATTTAAACCAAAATATAAAAGCTACTCCAATACACCTTAATTATACAAGTTTCTCATACGATATTATTTATATACATATTAATTAAAATTTATTTCTTAACTATTCTTTCTTATAATTGTTAATAAAACTACAAATGGTCTGGTCTTTTAGTATTCCTATTTAATATTTAATAGATGATAATCCTAAAAATATTAATAAAATTATAGATACTACAAGTAAAAAAATATTTAAAAAAACCTTTTTATTTTTATCGGAATTTTATTAATAAAAAATTAGTAAAAAGAAATATTTTGTAGCTACGTTGATATACAATTCATCGTCAGTCATCATACACAATACACCCATAATTTTAATTAGTTGTAAATAAACATACCTAGTTTTTACAGGACACTGCATTTCACGAATAATTGCTTTAAACAAAATCTAAACATACCATAGTTATACTATTTTGTGGCGATTTTTACTACTAAGCAGCTCTAACATTTTTTCTTTTCTTTTTTGCTTTATTTGTTTCACCTCTTCCTTTGTTTTTGTGTTTGATCTTGTGTGATATCGCATCGTAAGGGCGCAGCACTAGCATTGTTTGGCCTCCCCAGCAAGACTCCGACCTCCCCACAGCTTGTCCCTTATTTTACCCTCCTCCCTCCAAAGTTGAGACTGAACTTGTAGAGAAAAGAAAAAAACAATCAAAGTTTGAAAGCGAGTACTTCAGCGAAGAGCTCGAAGACGTCAATATGGACGAAACTACTTCGTTTTACTCCGAAGAATTATGTTTCTCAGGTAGAAGAAGCGCTGTGGAGTGCGTAGAATTACTCTCTGATACTTTAGACACGCAAAAACTTGTAGAAAATGTGATAAAGTCTTCTCCGATGCTTGCTACTCCGTCTCTAGATATCGGTAAGAAAGTCGAAACTTGCAAGGAGACTTGCACCAAAGCCAGATGTATAGAAAATATAGAAGCTTGCGAATTGAGAAGACCGACACAATATACACCCAATACTATCGAATTTCAAAATGTAAACAGAGTACAGAACACCGTTTCTCAAAGATGGGAATCGTCTCTAACACAGGCTGTCCGTACTACTGCTCCAGATTCTGACACATTTGTCCGAATTCCTTCAAGAGGAGCACCCAGTCCTATGAGATCAGCTCTAACAATCGCACCAGCACAACCTTTCAATCCTCAAAGTCAAAGCATCTTAGATCCAGTTCCCCTTCCTGAACAGACCGAACCGTATTTTCCTCCAGAACATCCAATCCTTCCTGTAAAAAAGGAGGAGGAACCAAAAAAGTTGGAAAAACCACCGATATCCAAACCAAAAAGTCCTTTTACGAAAGCTCTAGAAATTGCACCGGACAGGCCATTTACTCCGGCTGGTGGAGTACCGTTAACACCGCCACCGGTTAAGAAAAAGCCTAAAGATGCTTTGGATAAACTTCTAGATGAACTCCCTAGACCTGGCGAGAAGCTTGATATGAGATCTGCTCTAACAACAGCACCTGACAGATCCTATACGCCATTATCAACCGAATATAGTAGTACTTCAGAAGAAACCAAAAGTATGAAAGAAAGCGCATACAATATCGATAGATCTCACCTCGTGAAGCCTTTAAAACCTGAAGAATTGCCTCAATCGTTTAAAATGAACACACAGGAGCCGAAGCCTCCTAGTTATTACGCTCCGGCAGTTATCGAAGAGAGAATTAAATCAGAAACGGAATTGGAAGAAATGCGTAAAGCAACTAAAAGCAAAGAAACAAGAATAATCGAAGAAGAAACCATGCAACCTGGTCAGATCACTCAGCAAATTATAACCCAAGAAGCACAATCAAACCCAGGCACTTTTGCACCTTTATTTCAAGGATTCTCTTGCTCGTTTAAGAACAAGACCGATCATTCACAGTTTTCTATAGAAGTTTGCACCACCCCGCCGGTTCCAACTCCTCCTCCAAAACCACAAACACCTATTTCTTATATTGCAACAGTCGAAGAGAGACCAGCAAAGATTACTAAGCAAAAAATTATTGAAGAAAAGTCTGGATCAGAGGAAATGATGAAACGACAAGAAAAAACGAGCATGGAAACTAAACAACAATATATACAAAAGAGAGATGTGCAAAAACAAGATGTACAGAAGCAAGCTGAAGAAGTTATTCAAGTTAAACCATTGCCAGTTACTACGTTGTTACATAAGCCTGAGACACTTCCCAGTTATCAGATGGATTTAAAAGCTACAGCTGAGGCGGATTTGATCTTAATGGAGAAACGCCAGAAAGCTCAGCAGAGATTGGAAGAGCAGAAGAGAGAGCGCGAACAGCAGAAGATTGCTGAAGTCTCCACTACACAGAAAACGGTTCAAGGAATTTCCATCCAACAAGAGGCTTTGCCTCCAAAACCTATTATTAACATAGACCCGAGTGAAGCTATGAACCCATCACCCTCAGTTCACTTTCAACCCGTTTCTGAAAAACCACCCAGTACTACATTTTCTCCTAGACCCAGATCGATTACTCCGAGCATGATCAACAAAGCTCCACCTCTACTTCCTTATTACCAGGACAATTTGGTAGCGCAATTTCACTCTGCTGTCGGATCAAACGTTTTGGATCCTACTACTCCGGAAATCTCCAGATCCCCCAGTCCTCATCCTGAAGCGCGCAGTCGTAGTCCTTCGCCGTTCCCTTCGAGAAGACAGGAACGAGCTAAATCCCCTGCTGAAGGACCTCCTCCCAATCCGTTACAATCTTCCAGACCTCTTCCTACACCTCAAGATTTTAAAATACAACAAGCAAAAGAAAACGTTAAGACATATTTATCAGGTTATAAGAGTCATGAGGAAGTTTCAGGACATGCAGCTGATATTAGTCAAGTCAGTCAGAACGTTGCTTATCCATTATCGAGTGCTCAAGCGTGTGTGCAGACTGGTAAAGTTCAACAACAGGTAGATAGCTGCGAGAAACAGCGTTTGCAAATAACTGACGCTCAAAAGCAGGAATGTCAAGTTGCTAAAAGTTCAGACAGGATATCGACGACAAATATATCTGAGAAGTCTCACCAAGAACAACTAGCTGCAGAACGGCATTCTCAATCACAGACCGTTGAAAGATCTGCTGACGGGATAACTCAGGTTCAAAGAAAGAAAATTGTAACTGAAGAATATGAGAAGAGTCATAAAGAAACTAATATTCAAATCGAGAAAAACGTTACTTCAGTAAACCGGAGGCCTTTTTCAAAAGTTAATGTTCCTTTAGTCGAAGGACCCACTGCTCAATCATTTCACGTTACCAATCCTCGACATTTGTCTTTTGAATCTAAAGAACTACTCATGTCTCAGCAAGAGTCTGAGAAGCTTAACACTCAAAACACCTTGCAAGAAGCATCTCAAAAGTTATCGTGTCAAAATTCAGATACCAATCAAAACCAGTCATCTCGAATTCCTTCCAGTTGTCCTGTTCAACCTCCTGTCCGTCATGTTTATCCTCCCGGGTCACTTGCTTCTATTAAGCACGTGCAGCCGCCATGTGCTAGCCAAAAACCTAGTCAAAACGTTACCAAACCCAATGTTCCTAAACCCACTGTAGGTTCTGGCAAAGGAAGACAAGCGGGTGGTATCAAGGTGGCGCCTAACAGGGGCAGAGGGGTGCTGAACACTGGATCGTTGAGTGGTCCCAGGGTACCATTGTGCGGACATTGTCACGGTCAGATAAGGTAGTTACTGTGTTTGGTGTTGTGTGGTAGTTTCTTTTCGGAGAGCTTTGTTTTTATGTTTTTTTTTGAGTGTCAGATTATCTACTAATAGCATATTGGGTACTATATGATGAGGAAAAAAACGGCGTAAAGTTGGCTTGGAAATGGCTGTTGATGACATTTATCATATAAAATCACAACAATGTTCATATTTCAGCCAATTCCAACGCCATACTTTTTTTTCGATTCTACGACATTTCAATAAAATATGGTGAGTCTTAAAGAAATGTAAATATTTTTAGGGGTTATTAGGATATTTTGACTTAAAAAATTTAGATTTTTTTTAAATATTGAATTTTTTTAATTATCAGTTAAAAAACATAATATCTTGATAATATGATAACATAGGCAGTAGAATAAATTTACAAGAAAGAAAATCCAGAATGGATCCAGTGTTTCTCAAAATTTAAGCAAAAATCATTTTTTATTTTATTTTCAAAGTAAAATACCTCGGTTATTTTTAACTTATTTGAAAAACGGTAAAGAGAAAATATGTTTCTTTTATCGAGATCTACCAGGTCTGAAAATATTTGCTTTTATTTAAGATACACCCTGTAGAACTGTTTGTGGTTTTTCGAGTTTTACAGATATTGCAAATATAAATAGGAAACATTAAAATACATTTTTAAAAATATTTTAAAATAAAAATAAAACAAAATAAAGAATTTCCCTTATTGATCAAGAATATACAGGGTGTCTCAAAAATATGTGCCATCTCTCGGGAGATTCCTCATGTAAAAATAAGATTTATTTTTCATATCAACATAGGTCCGATTCTGCTGTGTTTCATAGCTATAGGGTGTTAAAATCTTAGTGACCTTTCAATTTATTATAATTTCCTTCCAAGTACTTTTAGCGTTTTGCATGAAATTTTGAGGGTAAAAGTTACTGTAAATGCGACATATTTTAAAGCCTATAAAAGTGTCGACATATTCACCAGGGACGTGCATATGGGTTATCACTGGAATATTTTTCTAAAAAAAACGCCACTGACTTTTTCTCTTGGTAGCGAAATAGTGTAAGCAGTTTAATACTGATTATAAGTTGTCTCTTGAATTTTTTTAATTTGCCTTGATCCAAGTCTAATAGCAACCTTTAAAAAATGTTAATATCATTAACTTGCAAAAGTTTTAAATAAGTACTCATTGATTCCCATCAAAAAAATATGAAAAAAAGTTCCTATAAACATGGGTATGGAAATGTATAGTTTTAAAGTTAAAGGATGTTAAAACTTTTTAAAATTAGGTTTTTTTAAAAATAATTTAAATTGCTGTATGTTGGACTAATAGTAATAATAACTAACAGTATTTTAGTAACATTTAATAATAAATTAGGTAAATTATATAACTTACTAATTTTATTTTTATTTCAATTTTATTAATTGTGATTAATAAAATTGCGTTTATCTCATCAAGGAGGCCGAAATGGGCAAAATATTAAGAGACGACTTTTAATTGGCATTAAACGGCCTACACAATTTTGATATCAAAAGAAAAAAAGTCAGTGGCGCATATGTTTTTTTTAAGTATCCCTGTGATAATCCATATGCACCTCCCTGATGACACGTCCCTGAGTATCGACACTTTTTTTAGCATTAAAATAAGTAACATATATAGTAACTTTTACCCTCGAAATTCCATTCAAATCACTAAAAGTACTTGGAAGAAAATTATAATAAATCGAAAGATTATTAAGATTTTATCACCCTGTAGCTACGAAACAAAGCAGAATCGTATCTATGTTCATATGAAAGATAAGTCTTATTTTTACGTGAGGAATCTCCCCACGAGAGATGGCACATGTTTTTTGAAACACCCTGTATATGATTTCGAAAGGCCGATATCAAAATAAAAATTACAGCACTAATAGTTGTCTGTACGAGTAATTACAGAAAATAAGTGTCTTTGTTTTTCCAATAAACAAAATTTTAACATTCCATATGCAGAAAATTACAATTTAACCAATTCTTATTCATGATTATGTTGTATTTTATGCGTTTTTTTTTATTTTATTAACAAACTCGTTTTCTTTTGCATGTTTTTTTTGGTGTGTTTTGTTTTAGAGCATGCCAGTATAGTGTTTCACACTAACCAATCGGAAATTCGTTCCAACCCGGATGAAACTTGCCACACTTTACCTACAGCGATCGCATCAGTGCCAGTTTACAGTGAAATCAATATCACCATTCCTCATTCCTCGGTAAACTCTCCAAACCAACTAGATTCTCACGGCTCGTCTCCAAATTCAGATTTTTCATCGTACTCCTCCACTTCCAGCTCAAAAAGTCGAAAATCTCTTGAAATGGCCAAAGAAAAAGTCATTGAAGAAATTAACAAGTCTCTTATGCCCAAACTTAAGAGGGTTAACTTATCAGAAACTCAAAGTCCTCGACTGAATTTCGTTATTAACAACGTTCAAACGAGGATTGAAAATGACGTGAAGAGAGTCAAATCTGAATTGATTATTCCAGTCAATAATAATAATAATAACAGAGATGATAAAATTGTCACTGAAAATAACTTGCCCGATCACTTGACTTTTACACGCAACACAGTAACGCATGAGGATGTTAGGAAAGTAAATATTTCGAATTCGACAGTGGAGGAAACAAAGTTGGAAAGCAACAATATCGATCCTAATGTGATACCGGTTTGCTGGAAATGCCAACAAGAAATTGTTAGGTAAATTACAATGATTTATTTAAATATTGTAAAATATACCGGGTGTTTTTCAAAAACGGCTCGCCCCTATAATTTTTTTACCCTTTCAAACGAAAAAGCGAGAGTTGGTATGTTACGTGACTTAAATCAGGATTGACGTATTCAATTGTTTTCGGTCACATCCTGTTTCACCGGAATCCTGTTAAACCGAATCCCCGATATTTTTTTGCTTTATTTGATAGAAAATGACATTCTGAATAGAGTGCATAGACAAACAAATAAAAAGAGACTGACAAATCTCATGGTAAAGAGTGGGACCGCGTTCCCGTAGCGCAACTCAGAATAACAATTTTGAAACCAATTAGCAGGACCATGGCAGGACGTACGTCTTTATTGCTATCTTTCTTTATTATGTGTGCTTTATATGAAAAAGAAAGAGATAGGTATAAAACGTATCATAAGACATTATCGCACATTCTGGCTAGCGGAAAATTTAAATTAGTCATTATTAGTAGTATTCTTTCATTCTGAAACTGAAAATTTTCACATAAACTGATTTATTCCCTATACCACGTAAAGGGAACGCGGTGTAGGGAATAAATCAGTGTAAGTGAAAATTTGCAGTTTCTTTCAGAACGAAAGAATACTACTATTATAAGGGAAATTATAAAAAAAGCAAAAATTGTACTGTTTTATTAACATATTTATTTATACATAACAATAAATAAACTTTTTATAATATAATAACAAAAAATAACAGTGTTTATTCTACCCACCTACCAATTTTAAATGCAGAAGAACTGACTGTTGCAGGAAACGATCGGCCAATTTTTTTAAAGGGCATTAAAAATCTCATCCTGAACCATTTTTAAGTTCAGTTTTAATCCTAAAACAAAAGTAAAATAGGTATATTAATAAAGTTTCTAGTTACTATAAACCAGCTAACCAGCTATAAACTACCTACCCAAAAAATGAAAAAAATTAATTGTATTAATTTATTATGTTAAGAGAGGTTCGAAATATTTTTGACACTACTACTTCTACTTTTTTCTTAATAAGATGATAAATATAACTACTTACTTTTATTTTACCGGGTGTCTTTAACATATCTAGCAGAGAAAGGGGGCACCAATACATATAAAAAATAGATGATACTGACTCCTGCAGCAAATAAAATAGCAAATAGTATAACCTAAAATTATAAATAACAAAATATAAATACCTATATGGAACAAAGGAATGTGTTCCTTATCCATATTCATAAGTCAATAAAGTGGAGAGTTTAGAAAAAATGATAAATCACCAAAAGAAAAATTAACAAACATGACGAATTGTCATGATGTTGTCATCTTGGTTGTCATGATGTCGAAAACGAAAGGCGATTGTTCTAATTTCTACTTCGAAATTACGTTTTATATGGCTGCTTCTTTCTCTCTTGTTATATTAGAATGAGACAGTGGGCCCAATAGACGCAATGCGCAGATCAACATAAATAGAACGAAATTTTGCGTTCTGAGTTGCGCTACAGGAACGTTATCCCTCTCTTTGCCATTTAATTTGCCAGTCCCTTTTTATTTGTTTGTCTATGATAGAGTGACAGCTTATATCTCAACATTTGACATTTTCGGTTAAAAAAAAATAATATTTTTAATTTCACATTAGAGAGTCAATGGCTATGTCAAAAAAAAGAAAAATTTACTCGAAATAGCAAGTATGTGATATCAAAATATTCGAAAAAATGCCTTTTCCAAATATGCTAATGAGCCACCTTTGTTTCATTTGAAAAAATTTAAATATGATCAGCTTGACCATGAGGTCAAATGGTCAATGCCCCCCCCCCAAAAAAAAATCAGGAGAAATTTAGAAAAACTTATTTAAATTATACTTTTTGTAAATCAATTTTTTTCATCCTAAAATATTAAAAACTATTCCCAATTTGTGCAATTTTCGGTTGAAAACATTTTATATAACCCATTTTCTCTACTGCCGGTCAAAATTTTATTTTGTCCTTCTTTCCCGCTATGTTTTACACGTATTAAACTTAAAGTGCGCGGCTCGTGACGCCAACAAGGTAAGGTATACTATATAGAAAATATAATGGGTTAAGGTGCGATAGATATAGTTTATACTGCCAATTGACCACGTCGTTCATAAAAGGATTTGTAAAGTTTACTTTTTGTTAAACTTTATACACACTTGTATTTGGTAGTTTACTGACAGACGATATAAAAAGTGGCGGTTTTTGTTTTGTTGAGAAACCCCAGCTTGTTATTGTAATTGGTAATATTGTTTATTAGTTGAGAATCAATATAGTTGATTAAGAAATATCGAGTGCATTATTTCTATATAAATATATTTCGGGATTTCAGTCATATCGTTTGAAAAATTTTGCCGTTGGGGCAGTTTGGGTGTTTATAAAAACTCAAATTATAAAACAACCTAGGTTTTTGTATCGTTTATCGCGTATCGCGTATAATGTTTGGTTTAGTCAATGAAAATCAACATTGAAATTTTTAATATCGAAAAAAAATTAGTTTCAGTTGCCGTAGCTTTGTCGTAGGCCAGAGTTTTAGATGCAGCGTGAAATTTGTGTAGGTAATAAGTAATAATTCATAATTTTCTGGTTCTGGATAAATGATGAACTCTTGTTGACTGATTCTGGAATAGATATTTTCAAATAGACAACATATGGTGTTTAGTTTGTAAAATCGTGCGGTTAGAATAAAAGAAAACAATTGCTTAAATTTCGAAAAACGTTTAGAGAAAGAATTGACTTAAAATATAAAAAAAATGTGAAATAAAACTTTTAGAAATGTGTATGTGTATATATGTATTTATATTTTTGTGACATTATTTAAGTGTCTTTTAAATCCTACCGTGGAAAATTTGTGTAAAAAACATTGACTGGATTTTTAGTGACCACCTGTTTAAAAATGTAAGGGTAGGTTTCATTTTAACATAATTTGTATTTATTTTTAGATTTATTTTCCTATAACTAAACGTACAAGTTCCTTGAAAGAAACCAATTAAATTTGGTCGCGCCTTAAAAAAAATCGACGCAATATGTTTCGATATTGACCTCCCTACAATAATAACTACGAGCCGCCACTGAATATGATTAAAAATACGATTTGGGCATCTTTTAACTTTACTGCTAGAACAAGACACGAAAAAGGTTAGACGATCAAATCTATTTTTCCAATGCTTTTCCTCCAGATTAAAATGTAAAATACGATAGGTAAACAGTTGTTATATGATATCTCATTCTATTCATGTGTCATTTAGAAATATTGCGAGAGTGCCATTTAAAAATGAAAAGTTGTCGTCATTTCCGGTAAAACAGGAAGCGACTAAAAACAACTGAATACGTCAATCAATTCTTATTTATAACCAAATTAAAAAATTACATACCAAATCTACTTTTTACATGAAAAAATAAAAAAGTTTTAGGGGTGAACCAGTTTTGAGACGCACCCGGTATAAGATTTCGACAATGGCACTGAAGCAGGTCAGGTTAAAATCAATAAGCTCTGAGGATAAGGTACTGTATGGAAACGAAACAAATGTTGTCAATTATTAACAGAAAAAATATGCTTTACCTAAGCTCAAGGGATATCTCTAATTTTCGATCTTATTGTGAAAATATTTTTATCTAGATTTCTGCAACTGAAACTCAGGTAATTAATTATTTTATTGCTGTCTGTATTCAGCTGCAACCCAGTGCAGATGCCAACCAAAAAGATTTTTAAATTTCTGAGAAAAAATAATAATCCTCATTTAAAATATACACTGTGTCAGTTTTAAAACTTCCCACCCTTAATATATTTCATGCAGTTAAAAATAAGAAAAACCGAAATGACACGTCAATTTTATCTGTAAGGGGGACACTTTAAATTAATATTTTTAGCTTCAACCCCCTAGGAGGGGTAGATATCAGCCTTAAAATCTTAAATGGGAATGGGGATCAAGTGGCACATCATTTTAAAGGGCATTTAATTCTCTTTTCAGTGGTTTCTACTTTCTTGCCTTTTGTCCAGAGGTTTCCGAAAAATCGCGTTTTAAAGTTGCAGAAACACCAACACGCCTTCATTGAGATTTTGGTTTACAGACTAGTATTTACACAAAAATTATTGCAATGGATCTCCTTGTATTACAAATGATTAGAAGATTAGGTTACACCACTTACGCCCTATCCTATAAGTTGTTCAAAATGTTGTCCATTTTCCAGTAAACAATAATAAAGTCTGTTTTCAAACTCTTCCCTAACATTTCGGAAAATTTCACCGAGAATTTACCAGCATTCTGCTGATATAATTGGCCTTTTAAGATCATCAATGTCAGTAGGTTGTGTTTTATAAACAATAGATTTAAGATCCAACCAAACCAAACCAAACCAAAGAAAGAAGTCTGCAGGTGTTAAATCCGGTAATTTTGTAGGCTATTCAATTGGTCCCCTTCTGCCAATCCATATACCCGGATATCTATCGTTTAACCACTATCGGACCGGAAGAAAATAATGAGGTGGAGCACCGTCCTACTGGAATGTTAACAAATCCTCCTGTAAAACTGGATTACCCTCTGCTTCAATTTGAGTTTCTAGCTCTTGGGTGATAAGAAGATCAATAGTCTCTTGAAGCATATTAAGATATTAGCATATTGCCACCTAACCTTCTAATCATTTGTACTACAAGGAGACCCATTTCAATAATTTTTCTGTACATACTAGCGTGAAAACCAAAATCTCATTGCAAGCATGATTAATTGTTTTTGCAACTTTGAAACGCGATTGTTTGGAAACCTCTGGATAAAAAGCAACAAAGTAGGATAACATTGAAAAGAGAATTAAACGCCTTTTAAAACGATGTACTACTGACCCCTATTCCCATTTAAGATCGTAAGGGTGACATCTACCCCTCCTAGGAGGTTGAAAGAAAATGGCTAAAAATATTCATTTAAAGTGTCCCCCTTACAAATAAAATTGACGTGTATTTCCGATTTTTCATATTTTTAACTGCAAGAAAGATATTAAGGGTGGGAAGTTTTAAAATTGACATAGTGTTTAAAAAAACATATAAAATCATAATGACAATCAAGAATTAGACAAGAAATTTAAAGAAAAAAATTATTATACTGATTAGACCTATTTTCCTGCCGAAACTAATACATCTGCTTGTTTTATTAGGGGACCGTTCATTACCGCTTTAGGAAAAATTTGGTGCCCTCAACACTTCGTCTGCGCAACTCCTTCCTGTAAACGCTCACTGCAAGACCTAGGATTTGTAGAGGAACAAGGACAGTTGTACTGCGAGTACTGTTTTGAACAGTACCTCGCACCACCCTGTTCAAAATGTAACGCTAAAATTAAAACTGTAAGTACAATTATTGTGTACCTATAAAAATCCATAATTAAAAGTTCGTCTAGATAGACGACAAGCAAAACGCACGTCCAGTTATTTAATTTTAATATATTTTTACTAGATTTCTCCTAGCTAGATCTTCTAAGTTTCATTTTTAAATTATTTCTCACATACTAAACTTTTTCTAAGTTAGAGGTAGGTAAAAACTTAATCTATCTTTCAGGGTCCGCAGTTCCAGTGTAATAACTTTTTATTTCACTTTGAAAATTTGATAAAAAAATATTTTTTGTTAAAATTTTGAGAACCGCAAGATCTTCTGTGGGTTTTCTTTCTTATAAATTTAGTCTACTACTCTACTACCTATGTTGCCATATTATCAAGAAATTATGTTTTTTAACTAAAAACTAAAAAAATTTCCAAAAAATTTTTCAAAAATTTTCGAATTTTCATTTTTTTTTTTTGTAAAAAAAACTCATAGGCGTGTTTCTGGGGTTGAACTATGCTACCAGTTAAAATATTTGCACTTATTTCTGGGACACCCTGTATAAATATATACTGGGTGGTCCGAATTGTACTCCGGAAACTTTGGCAGCGTATTCTGCAGATAAAAATAAGTAAAAAAGTTCGTATAAATGTATGTCCTCAAATGCTTAGTTAGTGCGGAGATACAGGGTGTAAAACTTTTATTTTTATTTCGATTTTTTCCAAATAATGTATGAAGTAATGTCAATATTTGGATGAAAATTGGTGACTGGGAGTTTTTTGACATGAGAAATTTGATTCTGATGTTAATATGACCCCTCTTTCTAGGGGGCGCCACCTACATGTGTTTTAAAATTTGTTTGAAGAGTAATAACTTTTTGTCCGTACCTGTATAAAAATTCTGAGTAAAAAAATATACATTTACGACGTTTTTTACGTAAAAAATGTATCTTAGTAAAAATCGCTACAAGTAATGGTTCTCGAGATATTTGGAATCGCAATTATCAATACCTATCATCATTGACATAAATTAAACATGTTGATTAAATAGTTATTAGACTAAAATTATAAACTTGAAATGTTTTTGTGCCAAATGTTCAAGAAAAACTGTTTTATTATCATTTTTTCGCAGAAAAAATTATGATTAATTAAAAAAAAACCCAAATTTATTATTTCAGTCAAATAACTATCTACTCAACGTGTTTATTTTTTGTCAATAATGACTTGTATTGACTATTTCCATTCTAAATATCTTGAAAACGGTTGACGTAACGATTTTTTTCCAAGAGACATTTTTTATGTAAAAAATCACGGAAATGTATTATTTTTTCACTCGGTAGTCTTATACAGGTACTGACGAAAAGTTATTACTCTTCAAAACAGTTAAAACACATGTAGGTGGCGCCTTCTACAAATATGAGTCATATTGACTTCAAAATAAAATTTCTCATGTCAAAATACTCCCAGACACAAATTTTCATCTAAATATTGACGTTACTTTAAAAAAGGAAATTATTTGGAAAAAATCGAAAAAAAAATGAAACTTCTATACCCTGTATCTCCGAAACTAAGCCTTTTAGGACATGCATTTATATGAAGTTTTTTACTTATTTTTATATGCGGAATATGCTGCCGAAGTTTCCGGAATACAGTTCGGACCACCCTGTATATTTATTGGTTTATGCCTCGAAGGAGATTTATTTGTGTTTAATAATTCCATATTCTGATGTAAAAATGTAACGTTAAAACTATCTAATTTTTTTGATGTGATTTTTTACAGGATTGTTTGAAAGCCATCGGAAAGAACTTCCACCCCGAATGCTTCAACTGCTACTACTGTGGTAAACTATTCGGCAACGCAGCGTTCTTCTTAGAAGATGGTAATCCGTATTGCGAAAATGGTGAGTCTACATATTAAAAAATAAAAATTGGAGGTTTAATACAATATTGATATAATTTCAGACTGGAATGAACTTTTTACGACAAAATGTTTTGCCTGTGGTTTCCCGGTAGAAGCAGGCGATCGCTGGGTTGAGGCTTTGAACAACAATTATCACAGTCAGTGCTTCAATTGTACGGTATGTATTACTGAAGAGCTTATTAAAAAGACGTATTTAGTCTAGATTGTAGATTGTATGGGAGGGGGAAGTTAATCACCACGAACTTAGTTATAACTTTAACTTATCCTACAGTCTCAGGGTTTTGATAAAAGCCAGTATCTCAGACGGTTTTTTTTTAAAGGTAAGACAGTTTTACCTGAAAGGTAAATATCCATTTGAGAGTATTACTCGCGCGAGAAACTCTCGATAGTAGTTCAGGCATGTCGATACACGTCTGCGACTACCTATCGGGGAATATTCATTTTACTATCAATAGTGTACTCGCAACGATTTGCTCTCAAGTGTATACATATTATTTTTAATAGCGGATAGTTACTTTTGAAATACGATTACGTTTCGTATTGTGATAGTTCTAGCAGAGAATTATTAATTTAAAATGGCAGCTACTTGCAAAGAGTGGTCAAAAGACGATAAGTATATACGAGGAAAATATAGTTTTGTGGGATACCATGGGATGCTATGTTTCTTTCACACTATACATAAACAAATTAAATGAAAAATTACAAAAATACAAGCTGAATCAACACATACTAGAACTAACGGAAAGCTATTTAAAAAATCGACCACAAAAAATTTGCATGGAAAATATTGAAAGTAAAACTACCATGGCGCCATATGAGATACCGCGAGGAGGAAATCTACCACCTCTCCTGTATATCCTTTATACAAACGATCTCTGCGAATTAGCACTAAATGGTGTCATATATGGATATGCCGATGATACATGTTTAGTGTATACAGGAACAGATCAGAACATCCTTGAAACAAACATCAACAAAGACCTGCAAAAAGTACAAACATGGTGCTACAATAATCTCCTAACCATAAACGAGCTAAAAACAGAATATATGATATTTAAAACCACAAAACAAAAATTAAACTTACAAATAAAACTACAAAACCATATTCTACGAGAAACATCAACAATCAGCTATTTAGGGTTAAAAATACAAAATAACTTGAAATGGGATGCTCATGTAGTAAAGCTGAAAAATGAAAATATACGCACAATTGCAGCTTTAATAAAAATTCAAAAATTGATACCAAATAACATGAGAAAACCTTCATATCACTCACTGTTTACCTCAAGAATGAAATATTTAATGAATATATGGAGTAATATGACCGAAAAGAATTTCAACGCATTGCAACGTCAACAAAATAAAATTTTAAAATTAATATATAAATTACACAAAAGAACACCAACACATATTATTTGATACAGTGCAAAAACTAGATATAAAACAATTAATACTTTTTAATAGCTTACTAAATATTAAATTAAATACAAACAAGGAAGTTCACAATTACCGAACAAGGAGAAAGTCACATATTAGATGCCATAAAGTAAAAAATAAGACATTAACACAGAGACTAACAACAAAAACAATTCAAACATTCAATAGTTTAGCAGAGGAGGTAATAAAATTGAAATTTATACAATTCAAAAAGAGGATCAAATGGTTAATATACACTAAATCCAGAAATCGACGACAGAAATAATTAAGAAAAGAATGCCTTCGATACCATCTGGCCAGGATCTGGTACCAACAGGTCACTGATGCTGCGACAGATGAAGAAGGACGACACCCAGATCTTTTATGATATGTATATGCTGTACATTATTTATATGTTGTATATATTTTTTCTATGAGGGAATAACTAAATTGATTAAAAAAAACACAAAACACTTTAATACACAAAGAAAGACAGTTGATGAAACAGAAATCTCAAATGGATACCCTCCTGACAGATATGTGTGAGAGTAAGCATTTGGAGAGTTTTTAGTTATCTAGCCGATAGCAAAAATTCTTTAAATCGCTCTCAAATGGATACTCTCTTTAGAGTGACTATCGAATTCACTCGCACGAATTACTCTCAAATGGATACTTACCTTACAGAGGTTAGTTCTCTATCTCCGATGTCAGTCATACCAAAGTTTATGACATCAATACTGGTTGTAGTCTCGGCGCTCTCACTGATGAAGTGTTCTAGTGTTTCCCCAGCTTCCCCACAGAATCTGCATTCATCTTTGTTTCTTAACTTCAATCTACTGAGATGTTGATTCAGAAGGGAGGTGCTCCTGTTAAAAACCCCGTAACAATTCGAAGATTGTTCTTACTTAAGTCAAGGAAAATCGTTAATTTTTCTCGGTTGTAAATTCTGAGAAATTTCTTCGAGTGTTTTAGACTTTTGGAGGATCCCCCAAAGACACAGAGGCGCAAAGAGACACCCCTAAAGAGTATTGACGGTTAAAAAACCCTCCTCTGCCCTGCCACAGAACCGCATTGGAACCCGCTTTCGTATTTCTTCAATCCGACCGTTGTCCTTAAGCTTCTTGTACCAGACTCCTCTTTATATTCAGTAATATATCTTATAACTTTTGTAACTTTGTGCCAGGCATTTTTCCCGTCAACTAAGCTAATTTCTACATTTCCTCATGTTGAACACTTTTTTTGTATCTTGAAAATATTGACTTCTAATTTGATCCCATCTAGGGCATTCAAATAAGGTATCTTCTAGGTCATCTTCGACACGACAATATACAGGGTGGTCCGAACTGTATTCCTGAAACTTCGGCAGCATATTCTGCAGATGAAAATAAGTAAAAAAGTTCTTATGAATGTATGTCCTAAAATGCTTAGTTTCAGAAATACAGGGTGTAGAAGTTTCATTTTTACTTCGATTTTTTCTAAATAATTTCTGAAGTAACTTATATATATTTTTTTTGCTCAATAGTTTTATACAGGTATGGACGAAAAGTTATTACTCTTTAAACCAGTTAAGAAATATGTAGGTGGCGCCCTCTACAAGTAGGAGTCATATTTACATCAAAATCAAATTTCTTATGTCAAAAAACTCTCACACACCAATTTTGATTCAAATATTGACGTTACTTCATAAATTATTTGGAAAAAATCGAAATAAAAATGAAGCATTTTAGGACATGCATTTATACGAACTTTTTTACTTATTTTTATCTGCAGAATATGCTGCAAAAGTTTCCGGAATAAAGTTCGAACCACCCTGTATATACTGAGATGTGTTTTTTTCCGAACAAAAAGATATTTACCAAAGCACCTATAACCCGACAGCGCTTGCGTTACGTAGCCTCTAGAAATCTATTTTTGAGTGTTCGGGATAAGTTTATGTGTCCATTTGCCATATTTACTATTTTCCTATTTATTTTGCCACTCAGTAATCATTTTACTTCGGGCCTCTTGCCTTGGAAACCCACAGTAAGTTGCATGTCTTTCTTTTATGAAAAGGTCTATTGGAATTGCAGCTATAACGCAAGCACCTTCACCAGATATTGTTCTGTATGCACAGCAAACTCTGATGCATATTGTTCTCTATATCTATACTCTTATAAGTTTTAGCAGTTATTTTTTATTCTGCGTTTTATGGCAGAATATCTAGCATGGGTTCCACTTGGGAAGCAGAACGGTTCTGGTCCAGTTAGTGGGGGGTTAGTGGTTGCTTGACTATCGGATAAGATTTTCTCAATCTCTTGATGAGCTGGCACTCAAAGTAGGAGGAACTTTATTTTTTTTGCCTAATAGGTATAGAATTTTTGACCAACTTCGAATTGATGAGTTGATGCTGCTTGACTATCGGATAAGATGGCTATTTCTTGCTCCTATCTAAGATAAGTTGTACGCATCTTGCGACAGCGTAAATTTCTGCCTGAAGGATGCTGGGGTAGGTGCGGATTGGTTTGGAGTATTTAGTGTTTGGCCTAAATACTCCTGTCTCTGTTCCTGCTTTGGTTTTGAAAGCATTACTATACCACGTTATGGTATGATCTTTTACCTGCTGAGCTGGGGAGATAATATATAGTATATAGTAGATAGAATCTAGATAGTCAGTATTTATAACTGATTCCAAATATATTAGGTCGCAGAATTAAAGTACCCCCGTTTGTCATTCTTTTTAATGTAGCATTCTTTTAATCTTATTATGTTACTAATAATATTAATTATTATGTTTCTCGTAGATGTGCAAGAAGAACTTAGAAGGACAAAGTTTCTTCGCCAAAGGAGGACGTCCGTTCTGCAAAAACCACGCACGCTAACCACTGATTAACTATTTCTACAACCACAGGGTGGTTTTTTACATTAGTCCAATAAATTATACAGTTCCGATAACAGCATTAAGATATATGGTTTAATTATTTAATTAGATACAGTAAAAAATACCCCATTAGTTATTGAAATATTATTTATTTGATTTAACCATATGTCTCTTATACTATTATTTGTTCTGTATAAAAAATAACATGATGTATGTACACTTGCACATATAAGCATGAGCACTGAACCACCCTAGTTACCATTAATTTATTTTTTCCTTGCTTATACAATTTTTGAAAGGCCATGTCTTGCTTAATTATTTTTAGTTCAAGTTAAGTCAATTAATTTATGTTAAAATGTAAAATGTCATTTAAATTGTATTTGTGGTAGTTTGTACAAAACAAAAATAAGAACCTCTTTAATAATGTTTTTTTCCAACACTGATTCAACTATTTACTTTCGTAAATACAAAAATAACGAATCAGAATGGTACATGATGTTTTGTAAGGTTTTGTCTTACATTAAAGTGTAATTGTGTAAATTTATGTTGAATTTTTGATTCTCTTTCGTGGGAAATAATAAAAATGCAATGATATTTAATAAATGATTAATTTACGTACTGTTTCTGTCTCAGTCTCTCTGCACTGTTATATGTATAAAGTTTATATGTTTTCATTAAAGGTAACAAGAGAGAGAAATGTATTTATTAAGTTAAATAAAAGTTTATTTTCTATTTTTCTTGAAAAGTGTCAATTTATAAATGAAGCACGGGCTTTATAAAGTTAAAATAGTGTTTCTGATATAAACTAACTAATTTTCAATTTGTTTATTCCTTTGATTATTGTAGATATGTTAATATCTAATGTTACTTTTAATTGTTTCTTGATACGTCAAGTTGTGCCATGATATTTAGTGTAGGAGGATTGTTAGACAGCATATGTAATATTTACCATGTATAAATAAATGACTAAGATTAAGTTTAGATTGTTTTATTTATTAGAATCACATATACAGCGTAAAATTGAATTTTTAAGGCAGTGAATAAGAATCTGTTGAATAGAAGCATTTCTTTAGAATGCTATAGAATTGTCGGTTGATTGCAGTAAAGAATTAAACAATAGGTATATGAATTGATTTGTATATAAGTAACATTTGAGAGATCGCGTTAACATCTAAGCTAGTTTTGGGGCTATTTTGATGTCTATTTTATAAAAAAAAAACTACAAAAGGTTGATTTAGTTCCAATCTAGTTCACTGTTTTTAGTCAAAGTTGACGCTGACTTATTTTTTTCATTGAATTCATAAAATATCCCTCTTTATATCCCTCCCTGATATAAAAGCTAAACTTTGCGAACAGTCACCAGATGCCCTACTAGTCATTAAATTCAGTATAAATATTGACGCACATGTCATCGATTTGAATTTTTGTTACAGTAATGTATCTGTTTCATACTTTCATACTTTGAATAAGAAGACTAGGGAAGGAGCATATCAAAAATCTTAGGTCCACCTCGATGGGACTCAAATATGGCCGACTTAAATTCCGGTAACATCAGTGCCGTTCTAATTTTATTTAAAAAATGTAAAACTATGATGTAGGGTAGACGTGGGGTAGACTCAATAGTTTTTTTTTATTTTACGTTGTGAATAAATGTTGTTAGTTATTAAAATTGTTATAAAAACATATTATAATAAAAATAGATAAGTTTTAATAATTATTTATTAACACAAATATCCGATACCCTACTGAAGCAGGTAAGTCAAATTGACTTATCTAAATTCTTTAACATCTAATATTTGACAAGTAGTAAATAAAAGCAAAAATGCAAGAAAAAATATATAATTAGTTAATTTAAGTGAATTTCATAAATGATCGGTTTACTACACGTATATATATTATAGAGTCACTTACTAGCGAAAAGTTGTTCCATTATTTCACTCGATTTTTGCCGAGATATACCGCACGCTACACAACCAACTATTTTAGAGTCTTTTTCGATATATCGCGATAGTGTCACTGTTAATTTAAGTTCTGCCACAATTTCCATCTAGATTTACTACCTATATACAACTATCAGTAGTAGAATAAATAATAAATAATCTATCAGTAGTAGAATAAATAATAAATAATATAAAATAAGCTCCGTACAGACTGACAAATCCTCAAAATTTCAAATTAAATTCAAATGTGTCAAATGAATCGTCAAACAGAACTGTCAAGGATCCCCATCCTAGAGTCCTTTTTCCGCCCACCATGCATGAATACATGGATAGCATTATGCTCCTTCCTTAGTTTTCTTATTCAAAGGTTTAATAGATAAAGGAAACAAGTTTAGATTGGAATGTTCGGCTTGCCGCCAAAACTTATAATTGTTTTGGAGCGCATACGTTGTACTGCGCTGCTATAGCGGTTGTTAAGAACAACCGCAAACAAGAACAGAAATAATTTTCTCTTGTCAAAGTCCGAATCTTCAAAAATTATAAAATCTTTCAAAATTTAAACCGCTTTCATTGCTAAAATACCTTAAAGTGTTTAAAGCGTTCATTTTCAAAGTAATTATTGCTATCTTGTGAGTTTAGTTTAAATTTTATTTACTCAAACCCGTGATAATTGTGGAAAAGTGGCATTAAAAACTTAAAAAGCTGTGTGGACTGTGAACTGTAAAACCCATCGTGAATCGTGGCATAAAGTCAGTTTCCAATTTTTCATAGGTATTTCATACATGTCCTTATATCAAATAAAGTTTCTTATATGCAACACACTGTATTTCATTTAAAAAAATTAAAAGAAAATAATAATAAATTTGAATAAATAATATTTGGCGACATAATTCCGGAAAAAGCTGAACCGTTCCGAAATTATCAAAAGCTTTAGAGAGCGACCGTTGTAAGAATAGCTCCAAATAGTATTTACATTTCCTTATGGGTACTTTCCAATTTTTTTTTTCCAAATTTATGATTTGTTGTAAAACTTTGTCAATATCAAACTTTGTCGATATTTTTATTTTGTTCTATTTTGTGAATATTCTATATTTGATTTTAGCCATATTTTTTTTAATTAATGGTTTAATTATACTATTGCAAGCACCTTTGGATTGGGTGGACTTAGAAACAACTTTTCACCTAGAAAAACCTTTTGTAGTTTTTTTAACCTGTTGAAAATTATATCGAAGTTTCTACTATAGTAAGCATAGTATTTGAAACACCTGGAAAAATATAAACAATGTAAAAAAAATGTTGTCTGGAAACAATATGACTATAATTAAAGAGCATAAAGCAAGACGAAATCTAAAAATCGAACTCATACTGGAGGAATCCAGATATCTCCAGAAATATCCATTTCCTGTTGGAGAAATTCACTTAATTGACTTTCCGATGCTGCGGGATGCCTTTTCACCAATTCTTTAGTTATTTTGTTGAATTTGATAACCTGTAAAATAGGGGTATGTATGTATAGTCTGTCCAGCTAGATAATATACAGGGTTGTTCACCACATACGACACGGAGTATTGTAGCTAAACCACTAGATTTTTAAAAATTGTAAGTTTTGGGTTTTTTAAAGGACTATTAAAGGTATAATTTAAAAATATTTTTACAAGATACAGAGTGTCCCAAATAAATAAAAAATATCAAAGTTGTATTTTTTTAAATAGATTACATTTTCAGTTTCTACGATTAAACTAAAGGGTAAATTTGATTAAGGTTTATCACATTTAAACCTTACCGTTTTTGAAATATTTTCAATTTTGGGATATTGCAGTAAAAATTTTAAAGCGTTATTTTTCTAAGAGTATCAAAGTTTTTAACACTAAAAATTTACTGAAGTTTATCTATTGATCAGTTATTGTGTTGCAATAATAAAAATAATATTACCTCATACAGAGTGTCTGAAAATTTATTTTAAATAATTTCTAGCTTTAAATGGCAATAGCTTGTTTAATTTAAATTGAACATTCTGTATATTTTAGAAGAATCAGATACAAAATTTAATCAAACATCAAATTGTATTATACCATTTTTTACCAATCCCTTCAAGTTTTCGTAGAAAATGCATTTTATTATAATTTAGACCTCCTTTATCAATAAAGCCATGAAATATTGACATTTTAGATTGTTTTAAAAGCAACAAATGTACAGAATATACAGGTGCTAAAAACGATAATACTACTAGCCCATTTGTATACAAAAATATAACTATTTAAATCTTTATAAAAGAGTATACCATTAATTTGATATACCACCATTATTTCCGCCCAAATATTAATTCATTCTTAATAATTGTATTAGTTAATAAATTATTCTAAATAAATGTGGATTTGAATTAGAAATCAATATAATTAATATATGTTATGAAAATGAACGTCTCTGTTGTCATAAATAATTATTCGTCAAAAAATGGAAATAAAATTTTTAAGGTGCAAATTTTTACCACACGGTGTAATAAACAGTTTTTTTATTTTTTAATGAAATAAACGAACTAATGGAAATATTTGTACATCTTTTTTTGTTACATTTTTAAAAATAATCTAAAATGTCAATATTCCATAGGTATAGCGATAAATGAGGTCTAAATTATAAGAAAATGCATTTTCTACGAAAACTTGAAGAGATAGGTAAAAATGCAATTTGATGGACAATTAAACTGTGCATCTGATTCTCATAAAATTTACAGGGTGTTCCATTTAAATTAAACAAGTTATTGCCGTTTAAATCTAGTAATTATTTAAAATAACTTTTTAGGCACTCTGTATAAGGTAGTATAATTTTTATTGTTGCAACACAAAATTTAGTAAATAGAAATACTTCAGTACAATATTTGGTTTTAAAAACTTAAATACGCCTAGAGAAATAAAGCATTAAATTTATTACTGTATTTTAATAAAAACCTAAATATTTCAAAAACAGTTAGACTAAAATAATGCGGAATACCTTAAGCAAATTTACTTTTATTTTAATCCTAGAAACTAAAAATTCCGTTTAAAAAAATAAAACTTTGACATTGTTTATTTATTTGGAACGCTCTGTATCTTGTAAAAATATTTTCAAATTGTAGCTCTAATAGTCCTTCAACGAACCCTAAACTTACAATTTGCAAAAATCTAATCGTTTAGCTACAATACTTCTTACCGTATGTGGTGAACAACCCTGTATATTAACAAACGACATATGTATATCCAAAATATTAAAAATATAATATATCATTTTAGTATAATTAATAAACTATTATATTCTTTCGCTAAACATACTATGTATCTTAAGAAAATTCTAGTAATCCAGTTTAACTTTCACAGTTTTTTCCTGTGGAACAAGAACCTTTTAAAACCCAATGCATATTTTGAATATAATAGCAGCTTATTTATTTATCGTATTATTCCTTACCTTATTCACCATATTTTTTATACCTACAGGTCCAGTATTATTATTGTTGCTATTTACATTATTGTTCTTATCAATTTTTTCTTCTGTTTCCATGGGCCATAACCTAACCCAACCTCCTTCAGTAGATCGTGGGATGTTCCAATCCCGTCCATTACCCCATGTCTTGTGACTGCAACGTTTTATTTCTTCTTCAATCTAAAGTTTCAATAAAAAAATCATAGTTTAAACATGAGATATTTAATATTTATCGAGTTCCATACGACCGAAAAAAAAACGGCGTCAACGGCGACGGTTGGGGAATGACAATCGACGATAATTTTGGCGAGGTCAAGCCCTAGACGTCATTATTTTGCCTTGACACTTCTTTATTATTTAATTACACCTATTACCAGTAAGAAGCTTTTAATTTATTTTTAAATGGAGTAGTTTAAAATTCTACATCCTGTTGAAAATACCTAGTAAAACGTTTCTACATTCGCCTCAGAGGAGGAACGAGTCGAAGGTAATATAAAGGGACAAGTTAGAACATGTAAAATAAGCTAATAAACAAGAATAAACAGATTTAAACAAGCAATAACTGCTTGGAAACAGAAAACAACCGCTAAAATTCTTAAAATAACAGGTTTGATTTTTCTTGCTTAAACCTGTTTGTTTCTGTCTTATAGCGGTTGTTTATTATTTAAACCTGTTTATTCTTGTTTATTAGATTATTTTACTTCATGAAGCGGGCGTGAAACTACTACTATGGTCTGGCAGTATATATAATATACAAAATAAAATCTGTCCAGTGACACATTCTTTCGACACATTTGTACATTAATTTAATTATATTATTTATTGCACTTAAATGACAGAAATCTGCCACTGTTATATATTCTGTTGGTGGATCGTGAACAGATTAGAATGGATAGTGAATAATAATAATTTGCTGTAGAAAAATGAGATACTATTTTTTAAATAACCAATCTTACCGGTGGCCTTTCTCTTGGCACATGATAGCTATTTGGTATGGCAAAATGTTGTCCATCTACTTGAACTTTTGGCAGTTTTATGTAAGTCTCTGAAAATCAGTAAATATACAGTAAGCAGTAAGCATATGTTGGTCTGTGAACAATTTATACAATGTGTTGATGTTTGACCATCAAAATCTTAAAAATATAGAAGTTGTCGAAAAATGTGCTACAATACGGATATAGCATAATCCTTTATCTTTAATTTCCTTCTTCATTTGTGGTAAAAATACCTAGCCTGTTTTACATAAAACGTTATACTTTTTCGGACTAGTGAAATGGACTCTTAAGGTATTGTTGTTTTTAGTGCCAGTCAGTGTATTATGTTCTATGTTTATTCTACGAAATAGTTCTAGTGCTACTCATCTACTCTCTATTAAAATTTAAGAAAAACATCACAATTTACTTGAATTATATGCAGATGTTGTTCTTATTTTTGGCTTAGAGGCAGTGCTAGCTCTAGATGAAGGCTGATGCGCGGACATTCTTTTAAATTTTCTTCTCCACCTACCAGCGGCATTGAGAACGGAAATTGTACTTTGCAGAGAAACCTTGTTGGAATTTTCGTATTCTTCTTCGCTGAAACAAAATAATTAAACATTTTATTTAAATTAGCGCCTAGTTTGCCAACCCAGCTAAAAATTTCATGTTTTATGAAGAGTCCTGTTTGTAGAGGTCTATTCTAAAAACATTTTTGAAATGTTTGTTTTAGTTTTTTAAGCTATTCCCTAAGTTAAATGTAGTAGTAGCATCTAAGTAGGGAACACTTTATGATATTCCTATAGCAGGAAGTATTTCCTACTCTTAGAGAACAGCTTAAAAAAACTAAAACAAACATTTTGTTCAAATTAAAGAAACAAACTGTTTTAAGTAATTTCATAATTCAACAAATTATGAGACACATTTGTTAGATTTAATAATTTATTTTACACAAACTGCCAGTGAATGAATGAAAAAAAAGTCTATTGCCTTTATTATTTTCTTACATAACATTTATCAATGCACGTTCATAAATCAATGGCCGTTATCAAGTGTGTACTAATCTAAAGTTTAAAAATACTGAGCTTATATAGAGCAGGCTAATCACCATTGAAAGTTTCAAGAGTGTTTGGCTGACGAAGATGGCCCTCTCTTCTTGAGTATTCCATATTTAAAAGGAAGATATAGAATATACAAGTGGTATAAAATTAAAACTGTTTTTGACTCTGAGACTACTCTAAGAAGTGTCTTAAAAAACCGGGATCGTCAAAAGAAGCGAAATAGTGCAGTAGATGCTCGTTTAACTACCTTTCGCAAATGTTTTGCTATATCAATAAAATATATTGTTTTTAAGTAATAAATACATATTCATATGATATTTTATTAATAATAACTACTCACCCTAAGACGTCGTTGGGACCATCAAGCCACAGATTAAAAACCGAAAGTCCTGTATTGTATAAAGGCAAACCTAACAGGTCGAACATATCATGCAACATTGGTTTCTTCACTAGCTGATCAGCATCACAATCGTTACTTAAAGCTGGGCTTAAATTTACCTAAAATAAACAGTTTTACATGTATAAATAATTAATTTTAATAAGACAATTAGAATTTAAAACACAAAAGAAAGATGTGAAGAAAATTTAAAACAATAATGAATAATATACTATTTTAACAACAATAAACTAATTTACTTATTTAACTCAGTTTAATTCTAACTTGGGTAAAATAAAGTTATATATTATATATAATTTGTATTTTTAATATTATACACTATTTTTATCTTTATTCCATATGTCACACATTTAAAATCAGATTTTCGAGTAGTTTGATCCCACGTAGTGTCATATAGATATAAAAAAATATAGATTAGAAATTATACCGTGGGTTAGTTAGTAACATGAAATCTACAAAATAAAAGAGGTATTCTTTTTGTAAACACCGCCGTGTAAACATCAAACCAAATATTAAGTAATTGTTATCAAAATATTTGTTAATTTGAAGTTGTCTGAACGTCAATGGTATACAGGGTGTCCCAGGCTGAGCGTGCATTAGAAGTTTCTAGAGAAATAGAATATCTAGATCATTGTTATACAACGAGATCTATCGATTAAAAATATTTTCAATATGGCGGCACTTCCAGAGATACCGGAAGTTGACAGAAACTTGACACACTCTATATCTAACATTAACTGTTTTTGAGGAGAAAAATATTTAAAATTTTTGGACGAAAAAAAAATGCCTTTCAAAAATATGTGTATAGTCTAAACGTCAAATTTAGTGATTACCAAAACCACTGTGCGATAAAGAGAAGACATGTGGCTATCTATTTCAAAAATTAAATTGTTCGAATGTCTATCATGGAATTGAGCGATTAAAAAATTACCATAAATCATTTTTTTCAAAATGGAAACTCACTTTTTTTATTTCACTATTGAAAAGGCTTTTCAATTCGTTACTTTTTGACTTTACATGTTTCTATACCTAAAATAAATCGCTTTAAAGTTATTTAAGATTTAGTTTTAAATCGTATATTTTTCTTGATTTTAACAAGTAGCCTATGACTTTAAACGTCAAGTGATGTAAAACAATAGATCTGGCCATGTCATATTGTGACACTTTGTTTAAAAAGCAGTATGTTATCGATCATAATTTCCAAGCCAACTTTACGCTGTTTTTTTTTGATCATATGTTATATTACTAATAATATAAACAATGAGATATCACTAAAGAGCGAAATTACGAGATATATTTTTATAAATACACTTTTTACCTCTTAACTCTTAACCAGCAGTATTTACAATACAGGAAATTCAAACAATTCGTTTTCTGACAGATAGAAATAAATTGTCTGACTGTTTGACACTTAATATCAAAGGAAGCTAGATAAAATCAAGAAAAATGTACGTTTTCAACCTTAATCTTGAATAACTTAAAAACGATTTATATTAGGTATAGAAACATGGATGGTTAAAAAATAACGAATTGAAAAACCTTTTCACTAGTGAAATAAAAAAGTGGGTTTCCACTTGAAAAAAATTATTTATGAACATTTTAATCGCTCAATTCCATGACATCTCAATCAATCGCTCAATTCCATGACAAAAAATCTCCGATCTAGATATTGTGGTTCTCTAGAAACTTCTAATGCTCAGCCTGAAACACCCTGTATAATAATAGACCTATCTTTTAAAGGCTAAAGTGTTCTTGAATATCTTATTTAGATATTTTAAGTAGCTTTTCTTTGTGTTTTTTTGTTTCTGACGACAGGAATTTGATATATTTTGCTCCATGTTAAAACGACAGAAATTTTGTTCCAAGGGAATTATGACTCTATTTATGGTTAGCCTTACCATAACTATAAGCCTATATTAATTCAGTAAGACATAAATAAATTAACTGCAAAAAATCATATCCTATAACAACCCCAAAATACATCCAATAAAAATTAATTTTAAATTATGTATCTATTTCGAAAAATCGTTATCGTAAAATTTAATAGGCATAGAACATGGTAAAACGACTCTATTTTGTTCTATTTTAATTCTGACGGGAAAACAATAAACGAGAAAAGATTTATGACCGTACTTATAAGTCGGTTTTATTAGTTATTATTTAATAAAAACTTAATATATCTAGCTTTAAGGTAGGCCTAAAAATAAAAAAATACTGTGTTTATGTTGAAAAATATTTCTCGAGACAAGTGGAAGATAAGTAGAGACGAGTAGAGTAATTTTGGTAAGTAAAAAATAAATATAAAACTTGTCTTTCACTTCTTATCTCGTATGTGTAACTTGTTAATACATTTTAAGAATATTTTTTTTTATATTTTTAAGTATAATTATAACAAGATTAATTTTATATTTAAAAAAGTATTATCGCAATTAATATTAAAGATTTTGAACTCTATTTAAACCAATTTCATAATTTTAGAAATCATGATACACCTTTGTTAAATTCAACCATCTGTTACTCGCGCCTCCTTTTTATATGTAAATACCCCAATTAATATTTGATGAGAAACATGAAATATAACCTGGATATCATATAAGTAATTACGTAAAACATACCTTTTATTTAAATTTTAACAATTATTGTAGATATTGAAACACTTCTAAATTGTAACTAAATATTAATTACCTTCATTTTCGGATTCAAAAACTGTTTTGGTCTTATTTGCTAAGCCATTATTGATGGATTTTATATATCCATTTTGTGCACTTGGGGCATACCATGATTTCATGACTCATGTTTTTTTTTCGTGGACAAAAATAACACATATTTCTTTGACAGTTTTAGTTCTTTTTTACATATGTAATGTTTCAAGATCAAAAAACCGGCGTCCAGTTCGTTTGGACATGACTATCGATGACATTTAATATATAATTTCAGATATATAATGACAGCGATCGTCATTTAAAAGCCATCGCTGATAGTGATGGGTTGTTATTTAACTATCTGTTATTTTATAACAATTATTTAGAAATAACATAACGCAACCGTTACTACTTTTAAAAAATAACAGATATAAAATAACGCACGCAGAGATCGATTGTTCGTGAAACGAAGTCGGCGCTCTGCACCGCCACGAAATTCGATGCTGCTCGAAGCAATTCTAAAAAACAACTAGTATGGATGGAAAACATGTTATTTCGACAACCATCGATACAGGCGGCGAGATACAACGGACAACGGAGTGGGGTATGCGCTACGGCGCGGCGCGGCGTGTTGGGCCTACAACAGCTTAAAAATAATAGGATATAAAAGAAGCAGGTTTTTGAAACAGTTGCGGGCATAACGCCTGGCGGTCGAGATAACAGGAGTGGGAAAGGAACGCTGCTGCATCGGTCGATTGTCGATGGAGGCTCGCAACAGTTGGAGAAGCAGTCATTTTAGATCCGTTGTTTTTAACCTGTTACGAGCTTAACAGAGCGGTGTTCGAGATAATCGGAGTGGGAAAGTAACGCTGCTGCATCGGTCGATTGTCGATGGAGGTTCGAAACAGGTTGGAGAATAACGCATCAGTTGTTTTAGATACATTGGCTTTTCAACCTGTTACGAGCATAACGGGCGGAGGTCGAGATTTATGGCGCTGTATGTTTCAGTACTTGGTTATTAAGTTTCAATATTTAGGTATTTATTTATTCTGAAAAATTTTCGGTATATTTTAAGATTTTTTAAAAGTGTATACAGGGTGTTTTGAAAAATATGGTCATTGATTAATCACGATCCTGCTTAAAGCCCTTGACGTAAAAAGCTGATTTTTGGAAAACGGATTGACTTTAGGGTGTAGAGGTTCGATAAGAAGGGATTTTTCGAAACTCATATTCTAAGGGGGTGAAACCACTCTCAAATATTAGAATATTTTTTATTTAAAAACTGGTGAGTTTTTCGAAAAAACTCTTAAACACGTATATTTTATTTTGTTGTTTTACATATTTTAAGATTTTTAAAAAATATATACAGGGTGTTTCATAAAATATGACCATTGAGTAATCATGATTCTGCTTAGACTGCTTGACGTTCAAAGCTGATTTATGGCAAACGGATTGACTATGGGGTGTAGAGGTTCGATAAGGAGGGGTTTCTCGAATCTCAAATTCCAAGAGGGTGAAAACGCCCCTCAAATATTACAATATTTGTTATTTAAAAAACGGTTAGTCTTTCGGGAAAACGCTCGGACGCGCATAATTTATTTTGTTTTTTTAAATATTTTGAATTTTTTTAAAAAATCATACAGGGTGTTCCAAAAAGTTGAGTAATTGATTAACCACGATTCTGCTTAAACTGCTCGACGTTTAAAGCTTATTTTTGGCAAATGTGAGAAAATTTTATCCAGTTTGTATGTTAATGGAAATTTTTGCTTTGCTTTATCATCACCATTACAAATTAATAATTCGACGCGAACGAAGTCGCGGGTACACGCTAGTTTAAGTGTAAAATTAATTCGAACTCTAGTGTGTAGTTGGTTTACTTATGAAGAATAAAGAATATACTACACATTTTCTTATATTGCTATTTTTTGACCGCCAATGGTAAAATCATAACTAAGAGCTTATCGCCCGTCGAGTGAAATGCATCCTATATCGCAATTTGTAAACAGCGCTTATTTGTAAACAACCACCGTTTTTAGAGAGGTATTTTAGATAACAATCGATATTTAGAAATGTTATGACACCCTGGAAATACTACCACCGAGCATGTCATTGTTGCAACTTGCAACTGCGTTAATACGCCTGGCGGTGACCGCCTCATACTCTTTCAGATATTTAGCAATAAAATAAAGAAACCTGTTATTTTTAAGCTGTTATTTTAAGCTGTTTTTTATAAATAACTATAACAGTTTCAACTGTTACCTAAAAATAATAGTTTTGCCCATCACTAACCGCTGACGCCGTTTTTTTCATATGGTATTTACTTTGTGAAGAAATTCTAAGAAATTTCTCAGAACTTACGACCGAGAAAAATCAAAGGTTTTCCTGGATTTAAGTAAAAACAATCTTTGGATTGTTATGGGGTTTCTAACAGGACACTGTCTCCTCAACGAATACCTTAGTAGGCTGAAGCTGAGAAACAACGGCGAATGCAGATTCTGTGGGGAAAATGGGGAAACACTATAACCTAACACCTTATCACTGAGTGCGCCGAGACGACGACCATTCGTGCCATGAACTTTGGTACGGCTGATGTCGAGGATGGAGAGCTGGCCTCTGAGGAGCCGTCCCAGATACTGGCTTTTGTTAAAGCCCTGAGACTGTATGATGAGTTATAACTCGTTATAACTCAAGAAAGAAGAACACACAATAGATCTGTAAGGTCGCGGTGATAACTCCCCTCCTAAACATTCTACTTTCTACATTCTATTTTATGAAAGCTGTCACATAGTGTTAAGGATAAAAGTGGATTCTTAGTAGCTCTTTATTCGTAGATACACAGATTTGTTTAACTTATTCAAAAAATACTTACCCTCAGAAAATATCATATTACATATATCCCTAAGTTGTAAAAAATAATTGAAATAGTTTTTGCCTGTGTATCCGGAGATTAGGACTGTATGAAGAGCTATAACTCGTTTCTATAAGAGTATTCTACATTCTACATGCGGAGATTCTAAACTCACTAAATATTTTTTTCATAAAAATTTTTTCAACAGATTTTAACTTAATGCCAAGTACTGATTAGTACTAAGATAAGTTGGTATTATTCATTATTATATAGGGTAAGTCTTAAATAAGTAAAAATATTTTTAGGGATGATATCTTTCGATCCCAACTTTTGCCAACATTTTGGTTTTTCGCCAATAAAATCAAAATTTCGTATTTAAAAAAAACGTATTTTTTATTTATATATCGGTGATATAGCAACATTAGGTAGTAGATTAAATTTACAAGAAAGAAACCCCAGAAATAATCCAGTGGTTGTCAAAATTTAAGCAAAAGGTCATTTTATTTTTAAATTTTTATAATAAAACTAGCGTGTACCCGCGACTTCGTTCTCGTCGAATTAATCATTTGTAATGGTGAATATGGTGATGATAAAGCAAATCAAGAATTTCCATTACCATACAAACCGGATAAAATTTTCTCACATTTATGTCAGCATGAGAAAAAACAATATGGCGATATTATTATATATCTTGGTAATATTTGAGGGGTAGTTTCATCTCGTTGGAATTTGACTTTCGAAAAATCCGTTTGCCAAAAATATGCTTTTTACGTCAAGCAGTTTAAGCAGAATCGTGGTTAATCAATTATCCAACTTTTTGAAACATCCTGTATGATTTTTTAAAAAATTTTAAAATATGTAAAAAAACAAAATAAATTATGCGCGTCCAAGCGTTTTCCCGAATGACTAACCGTTTTTTAAATAATAAATATGCCTGTATACTCTTGGAATTTGAGATTCGAGAAACTCATCCTTATCGAACCTCTACACCCCACAATCAATCCGTTTGCAAAAATCAGCTTTAAACATCAAGCAGTTTAAGCAGAATCGTAATTACTCAATGGTCATATTTTATGAAACACCCTGTAAAAATTTTTAAAAAATCTTAAAATATGTAAAACAACAAAATAAAATATACGTGTTTAAGAGTTTTTCCGAAAAACTCACCGGTTTTTAAATAAAACATATTTTAATATTTGAGGGATAGTTTCACCCCCTTAGAATTCGAGTTTCAAAAAATCCCTTCTTATCGAACCTCTACACCCTAAAGTCAATTTTCCAAAAATCAACTTTTTAAGTCAAGCGCTTTAAGCAGAATCGTGATTAATCAATGACCAGATTTTTCGAAACACCCTGTATACATTTTTAAAAAATCTTAAAATATGTAAAAAAACAAAATAAGATATACGTGTTTAAGCGCTTTTTCGGAAACTTGACCGTTTTTTAAATAAAAAATATTGTAATATTTGAGGGGTGGTTTCACCCTCTTGGAACTGGAATTTCGAAAAATCCCTTCTTATCGAACCTCTACACCCTAGAATCAACCTGTATGCCAAAATTGAGCTTCTTACGTTGAGTGGTTTGAGCAGGATCGTGATTAATCAGTATGTCAGTCACTTAAGGGTTTTATATATTAGTATAGATAACTCGGTTATATTAACTTATTTGAAAAACGCTAAAGAGAAAATATGTCTTATCGAGATCTACCAGCCCTGTGTACGTGTATGTGAGAAAATATTTGCTCTTATTTAAGACTCACACTGTATATTAAAACTTAAAATATCTAACTTTAGGGTAGGCCGAAAAATAAAAAATGTTGAAAAATACGTCGTTTAATAAAAGCTTATTAATTTTTATAATTAAAAAAATATATAACCTTTTTTCTTATCTGAACACGTGTATGTAGCTTAATATCTTTAAAAAATAGTTGTTACTGATTCTATTATATTTAACAGAAACTTTTTATAGCAAAATGTCTTTAGCTTATACGAAAATATTCCTAAAAATTTGAAGAAACAAAATTTTGTAGTATATCTATATTATTTTTTAATGGTATGGTCAATATAATATATTTTCCCTATAAACTTCAAAAATAGATTTACACGCAAATTTGTTATATAATGTAGCTTATGTTGACTTACTTCTAATAGCCAAGGTCTCAGGGAAGAATCGATTAAAACATCAAATCCGAAAAACTCGAAGCAATTTACGGTTGGCGGTATCTGATGGACTTGACTTAAGATTGTCAGGATTACAATGGAAGATATTCTTTGCCAAATGGACCAGTCAGATATTCCAGCTTGTTGGAAATATCTACGAAGTTGCCTTAGAGTCCACTTACAACCTATAAAGTTATTTTACATTCTACAGAGTATAGGGAGTAAGGTGTCCGTTATTTACCAAGTTGATCATTTCTCTCACGACATCCTCTAAATTTTTATTTTATTGTCTAAAAAAATATCAGACCATTGTAAACCCTTAATATTCAAGACGATTCATTTCTCATTTAAATTAAAAATTTTAATTTTTTTTAAATTAAAATTTTTGCAAATATTTTTTTTCTCTCGATCTTGTTCTCTCGTAGCCATGACAATTCACATATTCTTGTACAGGATTGAACGCTCTACAAAAAAGGTCTCTACGATATTCCCATTCGTCTCTTCGATAAACCTACTCCTTCAAAAGTTATTCACGGCTAAAGTTAACCACTCGGTAAATACCTAAATTTTTCCGCTTTTTTGAAAAAAATATGATTATTTTTGAAAAATGTTATCTATAATTAAAAAAAAGTTTATTATACCATGATAAACAATTTTAAATTATGGAAAACAATTGAATGCATGACAGGTTGTTAATTCTAATACTTATTATTTTTGAGCTTGTATTCTTTTGAAGTTATTTTTGAAAAATTTAATTTATTACTGTAGGGAATTAATCCAAGGTTGGGAATCTCATCAAAGGTTGGGAATAATCAAAGGTTGGGAATTAAGAAATCTTCAAGTTTAAACCATTTAAGTATAGCTGATTTATTTTAATAAACATTCCTGGTTAGGTTTTTAAAAGTTAAAAAAAGTCAAATCGTCAATTCAATAGAAAAAAAAAGTTAGGAAAATAACAGAAATTTACCGAACTTACTTAAAATTAGTTAATTAAGTATTGCAAAAGAATACAAGCTCAGAAATAATAAGTATTAGAATTTACAACATGTCACACATTCAATTGTTTTCCATAATTCAAAATTGTTTATCATGGTATCATGATAATGGTTTTTTTCAAATAATAAATTAAATTTTTCAAAAATAATCATAATTTTTTCAAAAAAGTTGAAAAATTTAGGAATTTACCGAATGATTAATTTTAGCCATGAATAGATTTTGAAGAAGTAGGTTTATGGAAAAATTATAAGAGACCTTTTTTGTAAAGCGTTCAATACTGTACAAGAATATGTGATTGTCATGGCTACGAGAGAACAAGATCGAGAGAAAAAAAAATGATTTGCAAAAAGTGACAAATTCCTATGTAATTTAAATGGGAAATATCTTTGGGGCAATGTTTAATGTGAATATTAAGGATTTACAATGGGCTGTTATTTTTTAGACAATAAACTAAAAATTTATAGGGCGTTGTGAGAGAAATGATCAACTTGGTAAATAACAGATACCCTAATAGGGAGTGTCAAAACAGGTATAACCTAACATAACCTAACCTAAACTCTCTAGAGGTTTATTTACCAAATTTTGTATTATAACATCAAAGAATTTCAAAATAAAATGTATATACCCTTAACTTACCAGATCCTACTCTATCTTTCATCTCAGCATATCCAGGTCCCAGTTTATTAATTGAACAATTTGTTAAGTGTCTAAATGGATTGCGCAGGTCATTTAAACTAAACTTGTCAGTTCCAAATCGGGCCAGTCCTTCTCTGTACATGTATATTGTCAAAGGATGGTACGAAGGGACGCACACATACAGCCTCAGGTCAAATTTATATCCTCCAATCAACAGCGGTTTGTCTATATATCGTTGAACTACTGTGTTTGTGTCATAATTTAATTCACTCAATTTCTGGAAAAGAATAAGATATAAATATAAAGTTTATACAGGGTGTTTCAAAAAACAGGTGCCATTTCTCGTGGGGCGATTCCTCTCGTAAAAATAAGATTTACTTGTCATATTAACATAGGTTCGATTCTGCTTTGTTTCGTAGTTACAAGGCGTAAAAGTATTCATCTTTTTTTGATTTATTATAATTTTCTTCCAAGTGTTTTTAGCGATTCGAATGAAATTGTGAGGGTAAAAATTACTATAAGTGCGACATACTTAAGTACGACTACTAGCCCTCTTCGTATCTCAGCTTTTTAAAAATTTTGCAATTTGGGACACTCCCTGTAGCTCTGTTATTGTTAAAGGTATCGAGAAGGAACTGTTTATTGTAGAACTTTTTACGTAAAATACAGTGGTGTAGTCTGTTATTCTACAAAAATAATATTTTTAAAGATATGAATTAAAGTTATGTTTTCTTAAATGAAACACCCTGTATATTTATAAATTATATGATCTAGCTTGCCATAAGTTCTTCAGAAATATATATTACTCTATATTTATTTTCACTATTTACTGGAATATTTAAAGTTTTTATTAAAATATCATATTTATTAGTAGGCAATGATTGATAATAAAAGAAACTAAAGAATTATTAAAAAAATACTGCTATGTGTCTCTTGTTTTATTTTGGAAGCCACTAATAAATTCTTTATATATTAGGGAAACTTAATTCTCTACATCTATTTGTTGTTCTCTACTTCTATTTGTTGTTGTTGGAAGCTACCGTACCGAAACTTTTAGATATTCCTTTAGCTCATTTACGTGAAATATACTTTCAGCAAGATGGGGTTCCCTCTCACAACTTTGAAAATATAAGAATTTTGTTAAATTTATTTCTGAAATGAATAAATTGGAACTAATGGACCTATATGATGACCTCCCTGATTCCCGGACTTGTCTGTTCTCAATTTCTAATTTTGGGGATTTTTGAAATATGAAATATATCGTACTACAACAATGTTGAACACCTGGAAAATGCTTTATCAATGCAAGCTTTTAAATATTTGCAAACCTATTTAGGCTGTCATTGAGGCTGCATATATCATATTGCGTTATGTTTGCCTATTCTTCTTTAAGTAAATATATAAAAATAGGGCTAAAAATAACAAAAATATAACACTTTCAATTTGGCCAAAAATTTCTCCGTTGCGTTTTTGTGTATAAAAAGTTTTTATATCTAAACTGAACTATTCTTAAAGCATTTCTTCAAAGCATATAATAGAGCAACGGAAATTACATTAGAATTAAAACTTCGTAAATACTAACGACACTGCATTAGTGTCATAGTTCGATTCATTTAGGTCCTATAAATAGCCACGGGGAAATTATATATTTGAAAAACATAAGGCTGCGTATAGACATGCAACGGGGCATCGTAATGCGACAGATTGCGTTAGAATGTTTCTTTGCATGTCTGATTGAAACTTAAAATAAAAATGAAGAACTAATGTAAATATGCTAAAAATAGATGAAAAAAATTGTACTACAGTTTTTTACTCGTAAAACATAGAGATTCTTTTAGCTTTTTCTTCGTTTTTTTTCTCTTGCTTACTTAAAAAGGTGTATTATAATAATTATATCTTTAAAATTTAATTACTCATTATTATTACTTCTACTAGTGGAATGTTGACTAATTTTAAATTGTTATTTATAAAAAGAGAACCAATACTCACCTTGAACAGAAATATGCCTCTTCCTTGACTTTGAGCAACGGGTTTGCATATCCATATAGGTTTTTCCTCTTGCAATTTTATTATGTCTTCTTTAACGGTATGTGGTCGTCCTCTACTGCATTCTGCTGCTAATTTAGTATATTCTAAAGGAAGATTGTAACCATGTGGACTAAAAGGTTCAAAGTGAAAAATTGTATTGGAAAATGTCAAAGTTACAAACAAGTACAATATAGTTTAAAGTAGTCAATAACATATAGTTTTTTCTCAATGCAAATCTGTGTCAGTCTCAGTCTGTGAAGGCTGTATTACCACAAACCATGATATGAAACTTGGTTTAAGTATCTTCACCAATCTAAATTATTTTTAAAATTCAATATCTGCTATGAATAACGATAGGGCAAAAACAAGATAGCTTATTAAGTATTTTAAAAATAGATCTGCTTACCTAAAGTCATACACTGAACCATACACTTTCTTCATACATCTTAAATATCTTATAAGGTTATCTTTTCGACATATTGTAGACCCTTTTGGAATATGATTTAAGTACTAAAATTGAAATAAAAAAATAAATAGCAACGTATTTTAAAACAAATAAGTAAATGCTAATTTAAATGAAATTAATATTACTTCGTTTTGAAAGTAATATATTATTTTTAAGGACTACTCATTTACTTTATTCATTAAAGACCACTCATTTACACGTTGAATGAGTGGTCTTTTTAGTACCACATATCAGAAATATCCGTATAATTTTTGAATTTCATGCCTTTTAAACTAATAACCTTAACTGCTTATATATAGGAAAATTAAAATAACTTTGGTTGCATATCATAATACGACCACCAGCAAACTCCATAAGTCGACGCATGGTGTCATTGATGACGTGCAACGAAAGTTGGTTTAATTTCCCTTTATTGTAGTTACCTGCCATGCGTAGATATTTTTATGATGTGTAATAGAAAATCCTGACGTTTTCCACCACAAATTCCAGTTATTTTCATTATACTCAGGGTGGTATTCTCTCCAGCCCCGTTCCAGACAAACCTAAAAAAAATCTTCTGTAGTATAATATTTATAATATTTTTTTAAACGGAAATTTAAAAAAATCTGCCTTTATTCAATAACCAGAAATAGCACTCAGTTTACGCGAGTAAACAATAAAGCTAAAAAGGCTATAAAGAATTGGTAACAATTGGTAAACAAGTACGAATTTGTGCTTCTGATTTAAAATACGCCATAAACATCCAAATAAGTTCTTTCATATCAAAACTAAAAGAATTTCGTTCTTCCATGCAAAACGAATATCGGAGAAGATTAGGCGAATAGCTAAGCAGTATAGAATTAAAACTGGACTACTCTAAGAAGTGTCAGAACAAAAACAATATGTGAATCATCAAACCAAGAGAAAGAGTGCATCTACCAGGTACCTTGCGACGCAAAGAGGTAAAACAATGAAGTCAGGCATTGCAAATCATGTGTGGTCCAAGCACCAAAACATAAAATGGTCGGAAGCTTGCCCACAAAGAACCCCATTGGAGAAAGCGCAAATTTAAAGGGGCCGTATTTATTTCTAACAATAACAAAATCTTTAGCAAATTTGAACAATATGGCAACCACTCATAAAACGCTCCAATGCAGTTATTCTTAGTGGAGAACTTCATGCTTGACTGCACCCAACTAATTCACGGGTCAATGCTCGGCTCTAGTATATAGGCTCAATAGTTTTAGGATTTAGTTTAGTCCACACTTGATAACCGTCAGTAATACTTCTGACCGAAACGCTGTGTAAGCAAAATAAATACAATGGAAGTCCAAAATTCTGTCCAGTTTTAATACTGAATCATTCTCTACCACATTCATACTTAGTGTCAGAAAACTCTTCAAGGTTGATAGAAAAGAGAGACATATTTATTAATTAGATTTTACCAGGTCTGAGATTCATAATTATATAATTAAGACAAAGCAAAAATTATCAATTTTTTATGACTTTATTTAATGAAAAATTGAATTATAATTTTGAAAAAAAACATAGTAACAAAAATGTAGCTAAATCATTAGATTTAAAATATATTTTTTTTTCATAACTTTGATGTTTATGGTACACGTTTAATATAAAAATTAATATTTGGTTTGACATATGTCAAAGATTTGAAAATGTATACATTAACTAAATGTTAATTGTAGTAAAGCTATTACCTAAATTTCAAAAATTTTAACTAATATTGATAATTATATGTTGTTGTGATATAACTTAAATCTTATAAGTCGATAACAGTATATTTAAAAACAGCGATATTTTATTTTAAAACACAGTTCTAATATAACAAAATTTTTCATAATTTTCATTAAATATACTTAAATTATTGTTCTCTTTATTAATTGTTGCTCATTTAATTAACACTTAAGTCAGTAATATAGGTGTCATATTTTGAATTACTGTGTCTTTATCAATTTATCGGCTCAGAACAGTTAGTACACATACGACCTGTTCTGACGTATAATGCGGAGACCCCAAATTTATCCCAAAAAGCAGCAAACAAAATCAGAATAATACAAAGATTAATGTTGGGGCTATCTATGCGAAACAAAGTACTGTATACCAAAGTACAAGACAAAACAAAAATCACGGATGCCATAGAAAAATATAAACTTTAAAATGTTATTTGGCATACATTACAGGGTTAAACGATAATCACTGGACGAGAAAATTATAGAGTGGAGACCAAGGCATGACGTATTCAGGAGCAGAGACAGTCCTCCAACCAGATGCAGGCATGATGACTTAAGATGTATCATTATACAGTAACTGGATGCAAATTCTTTATGATTCGTAGTTATGGAGCAAACGAGGGAGATCTACGTCCAGCAATGGACTTTAGTATCTGGTTGATGATGATGGTGATATATCGGCCACTCTTATTGGAAATTCAAATACAGTTCTCCGTAAGAATTTCTATCCGTCATCAAAAATAGGTACGCTCAGTTGTATAACTTTATGATGAACACATTTTATCGTAAATTAATAAATTAATACCTACATTAAAGTAAAAAGTGTAAAACTTGGAAAATAAGTTCGTCATAATAATGCTTTTATTTATTCACTATTCTAATAAACAATATGCATTCCTTCGGAAACTCTCTATTTATTTATCTAGTAATGCTAAAATTAGAGAAAATAGTATGATTCATTGGCAAGTAATGTAAACATTTACGATCCGGTAAAATTGTGATGTAAGAGGAGGCTTAGCTTGCCTACGGCGGTTCAGTAGTAGACTGGCCAGCCGGCTGTTGTGTTGTGTTTTCTCATAGAGCTGATATTTGGGGGTTGAGAATCTTTTGACTATAAACGTTGCAAGTATTGTAAGGCAATGGGTCGTTTGACCGAAAGAAAACCTCTGGTGACATCTTTCCTTCGAGGTTGGTCTTGAGAGTTTGAGGTCTCCCTTGTCTTCTCGATTGACACGATGCGGCGTTGGGGTAGAGAGACTAGTGAGGTACCCCAATTAGCTTATTCGATTGGGATGCGAATCTGTTTAGCGGCAGAGTTGCGTCCGGGGGAAGCCCCTATACTATTTCAGGTGACACTAGCTAGTTGTTGAAGATTATTAACCAATAGATCCGAATGATATTTGAATTAGATGGAAAATATGGAATGGGATATATTGAATAGAATATATCAGTGGCTAGGGGGCGGAGTACCCCCGGGTGAGTCTTACTATTTAACTATCAATTTTATCCAGATCAGTAAATGTTTGTTTTGTTATTTTCATGTACAATGAGAGAGTGCTTGCCAATGACCAACTAAATGGATATTTGAGGTGAATTTGCATTGTGAGACCCGGTTGAGTAAGCCCCAGAAATAAGCGATTTTATAAAAGTTTTGGCCAACAATTATTGGAGGAAAAACTAATATCCAAAAATTATAACAACCTTTTTAAATACTTGCACACCTTGGAATGCTTAAACACTAATAATTACAAATATTTAGCTGTTTTCAAAGTTTAAAGTTTCATTTTCTATTTCCGTTGAATAAAACTCTTTTAATGACAGTCACGCTTCCATTTAATTCTGATAAAATCGCACTAATAAACTGAAGCAAACTATTTCGAATCATGATAACCTTTAAAGATAGCTAAATGCACAAACATAAACTCTACAACTTGCAGGAATTAGCATTGGAAAATGTCAAGTGTTTGATGTCAGCCATAAATGCAACAAAGTTTCTAAAGTTTACAGTTTAAATCATGAATGTACCTACTATGTGTAATTTATTTCTTTTTTTTATTTAGTCTTAAATTTTATCGATTTTTTTTATTTCCTAACTATTAGTGTGAAGTACATGATGTACAGTGTGTCCCTTTTTTTCCTACAGTTTGCACAAACCTGTTCCACTTTCCTGTCAAACGGATGACGCTGTAAAAAATTTTCATTGCACCCTTCGTTTCTGCGCGTTTTTTTTTAATTATTATTTATTGTTATTGTGAAAGATATCGAGAAGGTGAAAACTGATTCTTCTAGAACTTATGATGATTATACAGTAGTATAATCTGTTTTTCTACTAAAAAAATATTTTTTGAATATGAACTAAAGTTATGTTTTTTTTTTCAAATGGAATACCCTGTATATTTATAAATCATAAGACCCGTCTTCCTATGAGCTTCTGAAAAATATATATCACTCTATATTTATTTTCACAATTTACTGCAATATTTAAAAGATATCGTTTTCTTATTAGTAGGTCGTTATGAATAACAAAAAAATCGAAATTGTATTTAGTAAAATAGCCATACATATTTTAATTTCTTCCCATAGCAACTGTGCCTTAAATTGCCTTATATCTATCAAAAATAGTAGATAAAATAGTACTTTAACCGCACGGGTAGATTAAATGATACTTTAACAGCGAGGCTAGGTTAAAAACTTTATTTCTTCTCGCATGTTTTTTAACTGCTTCCATTTTTGAACATTTTTGTATTCCTTTTCATAAGTTATTCGGGATTTTCCAGTAGTTTGGATATTGCGTTTGTCGCTTCAGCCTGAATATCTGTTGGTAATTTACTTATTTCGTTTTGAGCCATTTCTGACTCCAATTCAATCAGCAATCGACACGAAAGAGAATTAAAAATATTGACTCAAAACTGACAACTAAAGAGACAACTTTATTTATTTATCAAATTACATAGAAACCAACGCCAACCCAACACAATATTTTTTCTACTCGTAATAAATTCCTCGAAATAATAATTTCTGAATTGAAATATAAATTTTTCTTCTTTTTTTATAACGGGATTTATTATAACTGGATATGTTGCAAACAACTAAAAGTTCTCTTAATAGCATTTTTCAGATCTTCGACATTGTTGTAGTTGCCATGATATACCTATTCATCATATTTTTTTCGAGATTTTACATTTCAAAAGTCCCTAAATAAAGAAATCGAGAACAAACAAATCCAGGGATCAGGTCCGTTGGTCCTAATTCTATAGATCCATTGGTCCCAATTCATTTGATTTGGGAAATAATCATTTAACAAAATTCTAATATTTTTAAAGTTGTGAGGATGAGTCCTATCTTGCTGAAAGTAGATTTCACGACCTTTAATAATAATTCTTTAGTTTTTTTATGATCAATCATGGCCTAGTAATAAAAATGATTTTTTAATGAAAACTTTTAAATATTGCAGTAAATAGTGAAAATAAAATTAAATATAGATTGTATCTCATTTCAAGAAAACATAACTTTAGTTAATATTTTTTAAAATATTTTTTTCATAGAAAAGTAGACTACGCCACTGCATTCTACGTAAAAAGTTCTACAATAAACAGTTTTTACCTTCTCGATACATTTCACAATAACACAGATACGGGGAGTGTACCAAATTGCAAAATTTTCATAAAGACCATGTAGCTCAGAAACGAAGAGGGCTATGAAAATTTTGTTTACAGCATCTTCCGTTTGACGAAAAAGTGGCATAGGTTTGTGGAAACCGCACCCTTCTATCTTTATTAATAACGGATATACCGTATGATTTCAACAAAAAGACA